GCTGTCAGCCTGTGGATACTGCAGTGCTGTCCATTCTCTTTACAGGTCTCCACTTTGTGCGCTCTCTGTCCTGCAATACCAGTCCACCAGTACATTTCTGATGCTGCTTATGAGGGCACCTCAGCACGTTCAATGAAATTACCACCAGAAAATAGTTTAAGGTTACTGACTGTCAGTCTTACTTATCATACACATAAATCTACATTCAGTTTTGATTTTGAGTTGCGGTCCATTTTCTGAACAATTACCTCTTTTGAGCTGCTCCCAATCCTTCGATATTTTTGAGAAGGTGTATTATTTCCTTCAGCTTAAGGAAAAGTGACATATTAATTACACTGCAAATGCATACTTCACAAACATAGACATACATTATCTTTTTTCTTGCCTGGTGTACGGTGGCTCCTGGGGATTAGCAAGGCAGCTCCTCCTGCATCTTTGTGACCAATCTCAGCCACAGAAGGTGTCACAGATGGTGTCACAGTCTCTGTGACACCATCGCCAAATTAAAGCTCAGTCCAACAAACTATGAAACTATGGGACTCTGATTATTTCTATCCAAGATTGAGACCTTGTATGTGGATTTCAAATAAGCAAAAACATGGATGTTACAAGACTTCCAGGACTTATAGCTATTCCATCAATATTTATTTTAAATGACTAGTCAGAGTTTATGCCAAAACCATTGTTAAGATATACATATTTTATAATCTAGGGCTATCAATATACTACAAGGCAACACATTTACTCCAGTTGTCAGGCCAACTTAAGTATTCAGTTACCAACTATCTCAACTGCCTTTATTTTTTTGCTATTTGTTTGGTAGATAATGTAGATCTAATAAAGTCCATGAGAAATTCTTTTAATTTAATCCTGTTGCTTTCAAAGCTCAAAGAAACTTAAGACTGTTCAGACACTACAAGCTGCCCTGGAATGAAGGTTTTGTCTTCACTCTCAGTTACTCAATTCAACATCTGAAAAAACCCAACACATATTATTAGCTAAACAGTGCCACAGGTGGGCATTGCTAGTTCACACACGTAACACAACCCCTTTTCACAGGAATTTATAATTTATACACAATGACGTGACAGACAGACATGATTATCAGACAAGAAGTGCAAAATGGCATGCAACTGGTTGCTTTCAACTTATACGCGTTATCTTTCATTTCAACTCTATTTTTATGAGGTGGTTCACAGTGTGGGCCAGCACCCCAGCTCACACTTACACTATGTATACATTGAGCTTAATACAATCTTTTGCATTTTCACATTCATAACATCTTTAAACTAACGATTACCGACACTTAAATTCAAGTGGACAATCCAAACTACAAGCATTCTTTATATATGCATTCTTCAAGTTAATACAGAGCTTACAAGCCATTCCACTCTTAAGTATTCCTCTCTTCCTGCTTCCAGGAAAAGGCTGCATAAGGTACATTTTTATTAGATTATTCACAGCAATAGAACCATGTTGTGCATACATCAGCAGATCAGTGTCCTGCTGCAGTTGAGTAGCACCTGTTTTCAAACTGTTTTGACAATAGTTTTACTTCCCACTTTGCTGAGCTCCAGCAGCAACAGCCCAGTGTGGGTCTCTAGGCTTGGACACACTGCAGGCGCCATCTTTTACAGTTTTATGGATTTAAAATTAGAAGATAAGCTCTAAACACAGAAAAAATTACCCTAGAGCACACACATGCAGCCCACACACGTTGTGTGGCAGTGCTGAAGGGACACCAGTGACACTTCTGGCTGGTGTGGCAATGGGAGTACCTGGTCACCTCACCTTGGTCAGAGAGACACGACACAATGTGAGGTGAACAGTGGCATCTCTGTCTTTGAGGAGGACACAAAAGAGTAAGAGAACTAAACAATCAGCTTGTGGAGATGACAGATCCAGTTATACATACAGATTCCTGTGTTACTACAAGACATTTAATGCTGCAGAATTGTCACATTCGCATCCCACAATTTTATCTGGAAATCAGTATTAATCAAATCTGTGAACTGAATTATCTGCACAGATTTTTTTTTTTGGACTCCTGAAGGTTCACCCATAACAGGTATGTGCCAGTGAATGTGAGATACTGGTATCTCACAGCCAAAACAAGTCACTTCACTTGCAGTAAGTGGTTATAAGAAAATGGTCATAAGAAACATTCTTTTTCCCCTGGCACTACAGAACGCTTGGAATACACAAGTATCAGCAGGCTCAAAGTTACTGTAATGACAACAGGATAAAGTGAGATGTTGAACTGTTTGACAGCTGATGGGCACTAATCTTGTGAACTTCCCTGTCTTATACACACATGCACAAATAATCATTTGGGTAGAAACCTGTTCTGCTAAACTTACTTCATGCCAAAGGTAGTCAGAAAGTTTCAGAAAGACCAAGTAAACCATTTTTTGAGCACTATGACTGCGAAATGTTTCCATATTTCCGGTGTTTTAAACTACTTCCAACATTGCCTTGTCAGGTGCATCACTTTAATGCTATTCAGGAAATTTTTAAGACTTCTGTCCACTAAAGGCATCACATCCAAAATTTGCATCTTCAAAGTCCAGGCTCAGTTTTCACTGACATTTGTACACACCCACATTTCCTATGTTCAATAACCCAGAACACCATTTTTCACATGCTCTGAAATGACTTGGCCTTAACAACGTAAAATGCATTAGTTATTGGTCTCTTACATCTCCCTGGAATTCACAAGCAGCTCTTCTTTTATCCCTCCCATCACAGGATTCCATCCTTTACAGCAGACTTCTTATAAAATCATGCTCTTCTATGCCCCAACACAGTGATTAGTTCGAGTTACCAGAACATCAACCTCATTCCATCTTCTGTTAGAATTTTCCCTAGTCTATTTTTCCTGCTTCCCATAAGGTTACTAACGTAGGCTGAGGACCTCCTCGTTCCCTTCTGTGGAACCTGTTCTAATTTTGTAAGCATTCCCCAGCAGGGTAACGCGTGTCTGAGCCCACACCAACCACGGGACACCCAGTTCTGTGCACGGGTAGAGGGGAGGAGGGGAAAGGGGGTCCTGAGTTCCAGCTGCTGCTCCACTAAAATGTTACGTGTCTTTGGCAGTCACTAAGGTAAGTACCACAATTCCTTGCTCCCCTTCTTGAAAGGGAAGATGAGCAGACACTGAAAATCTGTAACAGAAATCTGAAGCAGAAGGAAGCACATCTAACATAAAGTGGTGGCAAAACCTCAGGAAGATGCAGGATTTAAACTTGGATGCCTCTCACTGGAGTTTCCCACTGGCTATTCCTTGTCACTTCCTTGCACTCAGAGCTGTATATCTTCCCTCATCCAATGCACAGTCAAGGAATTTAGTTCAGGATTTTGCACTGTACCACTAAAGAGAGAATCTCAGCAGTGGCGAATGCTCAGCACTGTGGTGCCTACACCCTTTAATGCTGTGCTTTCAGTTAACAGCCTTGGGGTGGCTTAGAAATATTAATTTAAGAAACCATAAATATCTTCAGTCTTAAATTCTGTTTAGATGCTCAAGTTCAAAGAAGTTGATTCAATTGCGACATTCTGCTCTGCCTTTGGCCTTACACACTTTGTTCCTCTGAACTGCAATTCAGATTTCATCCCCTATTACCATTATATTCCACCCACAGCACATAATATAACTTATGAGTATATTCTCTGAACAGTAAATAGAAGTGTTTCAAATAAAAGCCTACATAGGCCAGGCTTCCTCTGAAATTTTGAGAAGGTATGAAAGGTGCCTGATTTTCCAATCTCTTCTTTAAAATAGCCCTGAGGTGCCTTGTTTTAGCAACAATATTAAAAACTGACTTGAAAACAAAGTATTTCAGAGCTGGATTTGAATATTACATTAGCTATCAGCACAAGCGAAGGCCCCAGGAGTCACTGTGGATGACCATATCAGTTCAATGGTCACATAATAAAAAAATAGAGAAAAAACATATGAAGGTGTAGAAGATAATGATTTTTCACTTACAGCAGACCTATAGCAAAAGCATACTAACCAGTTCAGTGGGAGAGAAAAGGCAAAATTCTGCTGACTTTATTTTAAAACAAGAGCTAGATAATAATAAATGAAGTTAAAGAGGTGTATAGTGCTTTCTCCACCTGTTATGATGACATTGTGGAACACATTATCAATAAGGGCTGCTCACATCCAAGTGCTTAAATAATCTGAAAAAGCTCAAGCATTTTTTGTGGCCAACAATTAAAGTTAGGATAGACTTGAAGAGTTTGATTTTTTGCAAAAGACAGTAAAGTCAACGAGTCAAGATTTACACCAACCCCTAAAGACTGGGAGTGGAGAGAGCCCTGATACTGGGGACAAATAATTTTCCAGGTGGGTTGCTGGCATTTTATTTCTTTGCTGAGAGTGCCAACCACTCCTCCCAGTGCCAAGGATAAAATCTGTCTCTTTTAATGTTGCTACCTGTCATATATTATTTCAAGGAGCCCCCTCAGAACACCAGAAGGGCCTGCTGACTTGTATCTTTGTGCTGTCAGAACTGGCACTATTTACTCCTCTAACAATCACACACTCCTAACCTTCTGAAACATAATCTTTTGGTGTGCACAAAACAAAGAAAATGACCAGGGAAAGCAGTTTCTCAAAAGCAACACTATAAAGCTGCACTAGGCAAGATCCAGTCTGGCCGCAGTGATTCCCTAAATTTACAACTTCAGATATGATAATTAAAATTCTGTCTTGTGCAAATATTTCTACCTTTATATTATTAAGTTTTCATACACTCAGAGAACAACAGAGGTGGATCTACCTAAAAGGTGTGTGATGTCACATGGGGAAGTCCTCTGAAACTTCCCTTGAAGTGCCTGGAAGCACTTCTGCAGCAATGCTACTCAGCCTAACTAGTCCAACTGGATAGCGGAAAATAACAATTAATTTGTAACAGAAACCATGCACAGACTGACAGATGTAACATTACCAGTATGCAAAAAATTAAAATAAAACAAATTAAGAACTCCAAACATTAAATTCAGATTGTTTATTGTAAACAGAATAACTCTAGCACTCTGTCATACTGGCTGTGTCACATGCACCCAATTCCACATCAACTGCTTAAAATAGCACTTGCAAAAATTACAGTTATGTAATAATAATTTATGGTTTCTTACATAAACTAATTAACAAGCACTAAAATTGAATTACAGTGTATTCTAGGTAGTTCTTTATTGCTTGTAGACACTGCAGCTCTGGATCCATTAAAATGAACCCATTAGTATGCCTGAGTTTATCAAAATTTACTGCTATATCAAACTCAGAAACTGTAAAATGCTGGAGAACACTTAAAAGCAATTAAGAGTTGTTGGAAAATGACATGGGTTTCCACATCCAGTCACAGAACTTTGAAGTTTTCAATTTTTTCCGCTGAAAAACATGATTTGTGTTAAATACACTGCTGTTCCAATTTATTTATATAATTTGTTAAAATTAAGAGTCGATAGTATTTCCATGAATATATATATCTATTTATTTTTACACACAATAGAAGCCATTTCGTTTTATTCACTGTATGAGTGGTATGTTTAAATACTAAATCCCAAAATATATATTTTTATAATATGTTGTCAAAACTTTTAATATATATATAATACAAATACTTTTACTAAAGGAAAACTATAAACAAAAGTGAAATGCAAGAAGGCAAAAAGCCCATTTTATGTGAAAGATCCATCAAAAATGGGGTGAACAGAAACATCTTTACTGGTTTTGCTTATTATGATTAACTTCTTTTCTTCTCCAGCTAAAAAAATATTAGTGCCCTTCCTTGGCAACAGGTTACACCACAAATTACCATCAAATTTATTAAAAAGATGTTGAAACATTTAAAACAAATTTTAAAAGCACCGTATTTGTTCAGCTAGAAGAGACTCTCAGATAAATGCAACTTAAGGCCCTTACCCTGTCATTTAATTTGGCTTCAGAGCCAGTGTAAGAATGAACACTGATTCAACCACAGGAACAGCCCTGTTGACTATATCAGGACTCTGATGTGTCACAGACACATCTGTCACATCAGGGCTTCAATTTCAGCTTCTTTTAATAAGAAGCAAATTCTCACTAAACTCCCTGCTGAGCAGATTTTACATCTTCAGTGCTTTGCATACTCTGTCTGAATAACTGCCATCTATTTTATGTATTACAGAGATAGAAGAACTTTATGCTCCTTATATTTCTCTATCTGGGGGCTGTCCCAAGCACAAGACCACTCTGCAGAAGTCAGTAAAGTTGCTGAAGACTAGACACCATATACTGTTTTATCATTTTACTAAATTATGTAATATATATACACACATACACAAACTGTGTTTCTGCATAATTCTTGATCCTTCTGAGTTTTGTGCAGCCTACAAGAAGTAGGAACAAGCCTTTTGTGATGTAACCTGGAGCAGATGCAGCCCTGCACTGTCCCAAATGCCTTCCTGAAGGACAGGCACAGGACCCACACATGTATCAGGATAATGACGTATCTGATTCATTACAGGGCCCGTATCTGACATTCACCCGTTCTTGAATGAAGAACCAGTGTGTGTTTGAAGTTATTTGCATTACTGAGTGCTCTGCTGGGCTGAGACCTAACATAACAAATGAGGAAAACCAGACTGAGTTCTCCATCAGTACATGTGCAACTGAAAACAAAACATGACAGCAAATAAAGGATTTGATATAGTAAATGGAAAATAATCCACAGTAACACTGAAAACTGAACAGGGTGTTGATAGTATGAAGAGACTGAAACATTTTTGATAACAAAAATAAGACGCACTATTAAAGTGTTTCCAGCATTTTACTAGTTTTAATATAAAATGTCCCCAAATTTGTATAGAAAGATTAAAATCATGCCCTTATCTTCAGTTATTCTCATTAAGACAATTCTCTCACTTACTACTGCGTTGTCAAATTTCCTTTTCTTTTCCCCCCACTGGTCTTCATAAAACTTAAAATAGAAAACATGTTGGTTGCATTAAGGATCAATTAAAAAAGTATCATTCAACACGTCACTTAAAAAAAATGTGAAAGTCTCTATTTTTAAGAAAAATTGTTGACTCCATCCCAAAAAGGACTTACTTTTCTCACCCCCTCCAGCCCCCAATAAGATAATTATTGGGATACTAAACAGTGTTTTTCAGGAGTAACAAGCACATTTCAAGCAATTTTGTTTGCTCTGGAGGGTTATTTCATCAAAATGAAAATTTGAAGGGATATGCTATTTTAAAAATATACGGCATCTACAAGTTTTTTATTATTATTGTTTCAGTTGATTTTGCTTTTCAACAGGTTGTCTGTAATATAAATGACACATGACCACAACTGATTTTTAAATACTCTCTATCCCTAACACACAGCTAATGTCAAATGAACCAAGAAGGAATTCGGGACTTTCATAATGAACAGAATCATTTGTCCTAATGATCTTTAATAATTTTGCTCATCACGAAGTCCCCTGAAACCATGTCAGTACTGATCATTTGCATTTCTTCATCCATTGGAGTTCTTCACAGTTTTGCAGCCATGAAATTGATATGTGGTTTCACCAGTGGGAAGAGCGGCAGACTGCGCTTGAATTCTGTCATATTTTCAATCACACTTGGCTGCAAAGAAGCGTATGAAAGAAAAGGTCTGCTCAATGTCTTCAGTCAGAAAAGTGAGGAATTCCTTGCTTTTCATTTTAACTGTTGCTAAAACACCTTCCTTGGTCTTTTCTACAGTATTAGTGATTCACACTTTGTTATTACAGGATCCCCCCAAATATACTGTTATTTCTTATTAAATAAATGGGTTTCATATTTACATAATTTAAAACAACAGCTACGATGCAGTAACTGCATTACTAATAATGGCAGGATCTTCAATATATGCAGAGCTTGTCTTTTCATTTAGAAGTTCTACTTCAGAACACCCCACCTGTCCCTTCAGTATCAGAGGTAAGATCATAACCCCAACAGCTATTCAAGGCATTATTATTTTTTAGAAGTAGATGTAGCACATTGCGAAAAGTTAATCATCTACTGGGACAAACACTGCCATGCTTCAAGAAAATTTACTGAAGGTCTGGTAAGGGCCCAGTGCTGTCATATCAAACCACAAAATGAAATCTGTAATACTTTCATGAATACAATTTGTCAAACTGTTTCCTCCACAGGTCACATATTGACAGGAACGTGCATTAATATTTTAGACTTTAAGAAAATTACCAAATAGTTGGGTTTGTTGCTGTTTTGGGTTGTTTGGGTTTTTTAAACAAAGATGATAAAAAATTTTGATGCATATGCATCTTTTTCTTGACACTTGATACACCTGGTCATATACAAACAGTATTTTCAGACAATGATCATCTGTATTTACTCCACAGTGCAGACACCCAGCAGAGTTTACTCCTGTTATTTGCTTTCACTTCAGTGCACTAGAAGGAACAAAGGTAACTGGAGAGATTGCTAGAAAGAAAAATCAGGAAAAATCCTTCTTGCTAGTGAGGATGACAATGCATGTAGAAAAGAGCTGAAACAGCCCCATGACAGCATGAATTTCAAGAAGTTTGTTTATCCCTATAAACTTATATTTAATGATACTAAACCTCTAGATTAAGAATGCAGTCTGGGATTGTCTTGAGTGCTGTTTCTTTTTACCTGTGGTAGTGGTGGTGCTGGTGCCAGGTTCACATCATTTTGGCATGGAAATTCTCCAACAACAGGGCCTATTCAACATCATCAAAATTAATTCAGGACCATAACGTAATCAGTATCTTTAACATAATAACTGTTTTCTCTTAATAGACAGGTATCTATATAAAGCACAGGGTTTTAATTTTTAAGTATTGCTAAATAACATTTTCTAAACATTTTGCTTTTGTACTCCATGGCTGTCTTTACAAATACAGAAATTAATCCATGACTTGAGAACACGATCTTTTATTCATTTTACTTACACATAAAAAGAATGTAGAAATAAAAATTGCTAATCTACTGATCAATAAATACTTAAAACTGTTTCTCAGTGCAAATTATGAGAAAAGTAGCAAATGTCAGTGGTACATACAAGAGCAATGCAACAGCAGCACATCTTTTGGTAAGGACATGGACATGGCTATGGATGCATAGAGTTTACTCCAGGTTCCAAAATTCTGGATAGCAACCAAAATCTTCCCTGCCTGTCTCCGTGCATGCCCTTATTCCAATAATCCCCTCAAACTTCTTCCTGCATTTTCAATCTCAGTTTCTTTCATGGCAGAAGAGAGGCCAAATGCCACATTAAATGGGGACTATGCAGAGAGAATAACTTACTGTAATCCCTGTAAGAGTAACCACCACCATTCCAAGTAAATAATAAACAATTCTGGCAATACAGTTACTAAACCCTAAAAAGTTTTCTCTGGCTAGGAAAAGCTTTAGACTATTTCTATTAAGCAACTACTAGTCATGAAAACTGGAAAGATGCTTTGAAGCAAGTCTTCCTCATTTGGCTGCCGAGTTACAATTTCTACAGTCCCATAAAAATCAATCCTTCTGAGGCTGGAAGTAGTTTCATGACATGCACTCAGCTATCTGCTTCTTCATGTACTACAGACAAGCCTTCAATATCCTTGATTTTGCAACCAGATGCATGTTGGAATTTAAGTACAGTATAAACTGGCGGAAAATCTCACGAAACAACTCAGAGGTTTTTCCTCTCAGTTTATTCATATTAACCAGAAACACTTTAACCTTTTCCTTCCTGAATTCTAAAATGGAACAATACAGTTTACAATGCACTGCTAATCTGTATTATTTCAAAATAAAACCTAAATAAACATTGACCTTCTTAAGTTTAAAGCAAATGTTTGATACTCCCAGAGGTTTTGGCTTTTGTTTGTTTCAGAGTTTGCTTTCCTCTTTGAAGGTGTTTGAATAATATTGTCAGAATAATATTCTGACAAACATTCACTGCTTGTCAGAAAAAAACCTCACACGCTGGATTGATACTGCAAATTCTAATTTTGAGTTGGTTTTTTTGCCCTGTATGAGTATTACAGAATTTTATGTTTCTTTTAAAATAGCCTGTTGAAAACAAAGCACTTATTTTAGTTTACATTGTTTTAATATCAATATACTTCAGAAAGGTTGAAGAACCTGGTCACAAACATTAACCGGAAAATTTGAAGCACCCACTTGAAGGAAACTTGTAAAAAGAAATACTTTTGCCTCTGAAAGGTAAATAATCTCTAAAGCTGAGTTTTTCTTATAGTGCATTTGTATCATATAACATGGCTATCTAACCATGAGTTGCTTGACATTCAGCACAATACTTACAGGAATCCATTTCCCTTGCAAGGACGTGCACTGATACCTTGTGTCTTCTGGGAGCATCTATTGCCAACAGCACCTACAGTAAAAAACATCAAGATCCTCAGATGTGGGAAGTATCCCTTAGACATTATAAAACAGTAAAAAGAACAAAAGTGTTTAAATTTTAACTTTAAGCCTTAAAATGAGGAATGAATTTTGGGATGTCCCTTCAAATATGATTAAAAGTCACCCACACAGTATACAATGAATAATTTTACAATCGAGTTAATAAATTCATGTACCCTTTGGAACTCAGAAAAACTGTAAGTAATAGAAATTCAACCATTAACTATCATAGTATCAGGAATGCAACCTAACATCTCTGCAGAACTTTCAATCTCTAGCAGTCTTCTCGAAGCACATCACCCTGAACACAATTATTAAACTCAGCTGGACTAACTCACCAATACAGCTGGTTATTTCTGCTCTGGAATGCTGCATAATCATTTATTCAGCACTGGTGTAAGCAAAATAATATAGATTCCTACAAAACTAGGAGGTGCATGCTCATTCAAGTTACCATTTATTAAACAACAGGTGCTAAAATTCCATTTACTAAGTTTGTATTTGCTGCATATCTTCATCCATGCTATCATAATATTAAAAAAAAAAACCAACAAACTAACAACCCACCCAAAGATGTCAGCGTTCACTGTGCCATGTAAATAATAACCAGTTTCAAGCATGAAGGACTAACTCTTATAAAAATAGAGGACAACATAAAAAACACCCTGGACAGTGAAAAGGATAATGCAGAATAAAAAAACCAAACCACTTTGAAAGCCATTACCCCCCTCTGCCCAAGAGAGGAAAAAAAGGCAGACACAAACATATCCATGCTTCTTCAGGGGCAGAAATTTTTCCACCCAATAATAAATTCTGCAGACATTAAGTTGGACTTATTTTCAGTAGTACTCCCTGGGCTACTGGCTGCTCCATAAGTAATAAAACACTATAACACTCTGCAATACAGTGAAATATCACTGACTGGGACATATTACAGAACAGAAAGAATGACACACAATTTTTTTACATTTGGGGAGTGAATGACACAGACACGACAGGCGCAGATGCCCTCCTAGTATCTCCATTGCCTATATTAAGTATCTATCTCGCAACTTCATGCTGAGTCGCAATGCACAATTACTGCGACATTATGCTGTTCCTTCACGCTGCCCAACTATTAGAGCTAAAAAAACCCCACTGATTTACACTGAACAAAGCTTTCAAAATATCTGTTTCATTCACAATTCATGCCAAAAAATAGGCTGAATCATTTATCGGTTGAAGAAAAATAAGAAAAGAACAAATGTGCAATTTTGGCCAGACTTGGCCATAGAGCAGCACATTTTATATCCATAAAGGAAGGATAAATGAAACAAGAGGAAAATAAGAGCAGCAAGAAAAAAAATCAAAACCACACCAAACCTCAATCCTTCTCCGCAATTTTTACCGTTGCCATTAAACTAAGTAATATTCAGGATATAAAATTATTATAATGGAATCTGCATCAATTATATCATCTGCCTAAAATTGGTGTCAGTATATCCTTTCACAGTTTGCACAAATCAGATTCAGCTGTACCTACATCTCTTTCCAAATAACATTTTTACTACAAGACTCACCTTGTAGAACTGTATAATATCATCCTTGGTCAGGGTCTTTAGATAAGCCACTTCAATGTTATCTGCACAACAATAGTAAAAATTAGAGTACGTCTGCAGATCTCAGCTGGTTATTAGCAAACCACTTATTCAAAGTATATTTCTTTCAACTTCAGATGACTGCAAATGATACACTTTTCATTGTTATCTTTGAAGTTAATACTTGCTTCACTAAGTATCACTGGAACCTTGGCAGAAAGTTATACTTCAGTAAGTCTGATTGGACTTATTAAAAAAGGCACGTTTAAAGAATACTGACTGTACTGTAGCATATTCAGTAGCTAAAATAAATATGCCTATTTTTGTATATTATCTTCAAATCAATGTTACACATTTTTAATTCAGATGTTTTTTATTCACAGTTAGGAAACAGGAAACGTACTTTGGCAGGATGTACTTTTTAAAGAAATGTAAGGGATGGTGCCTACATCATACCTGTTAAGGAGTAATCACCTGGGGTAAGTAAGCTCTGGGGACAATGTGTCTCAGTTGCTACATTACTTCATATAAATTAAATTATCATGAACTAATCATCTAATATCACTGCTGCATAAGCAGAAATGTTTTCTGTTGTAGGCATGCTTGCTTTTCTTAGGGTGAGCAGGAAGGTCAAGGAATAAATGCGTGCAAGAGAACAAACAGGCAGCTAACAAGTCTGTAAGGCAGGCTTTAATTAATATTAAGTTCTATATAAAGGAAATACCCCCCCCAACAATATAATTTAGAAAATTAGATAACATTTGGGTGACAACGTTAAAAGTAGTAATAACATAACTGTAAAAATATGAAGAAAAAAATCCTTCCACTTCTTAAGGCTGGAATATGAATTTCTGATTTTGACAATTCTAGTCATGTTATAATCATTAATGATATAAAATTACTAATGGGCAGAGGGGAATTAAAGATACAAAAGTCGAGGGAAATAGTAAGGTCGGTAGGATTTAGATATGAAATATATGGCTACAGTTAGAGGTAAGAATTCCAGAGAGATAATATTGATTCAAGTATGGTAAAAACAGAAACACTTAAGGTAGAGAAAAAAATCAAACTACTTCATCAGACCCAAGAAAGTACTGGAGGGGATAAGTTTCCACACCACTCCTTATGCTCAGGTACGAAACCATGTCAGTAGCTCTCATTCTCTCTAGACAAGCCAGATGATGAGTCAAAACTCATCATTATTGTAACAGTTTAGTGAGTCATTATCAAGCAAAAAGACTACTTGCTACTGTGGAAAGCCCATACAGTGCATGTAAAGCAGAAGAGAAGTCACAGAATACAGAATGAGTTTTATGGAGGAAGCATATTATGCATGAAAGAGCAGAAAATTACAGTTGTGAATAAGAGTCGAGACACAAAAATATGAGAGGAAAAGCTGACTGTACCTAAACAGATTTTTTCTTTAACGTTAGAAACTGTATTACTAATGTATATCAGCATTCTGGGTTAAAAATCTTCAAACCACATATATTATGTAGGATCACACTGTAAATAACTGTCACTCCATTTTCAGTAATAACACTAGAAGTTGGATCTCATTTGGTCTTCTATAAGCTTATAATCTTCAAAGAATCATGGATTAAAAAAACAAAAAAAACATAACTTTTTTTTCAAATCTACACCAAGATGAGACAGGTTGCATGTTAGTTTAGATACCTGCTGTTGCCCCTGTCATCACTCCCTCAAAAGAACTGCACAGTGGGAAGAGAAGTAGGGTTTGTATCAATGTATGTACCATCAGGAATGTCAGAGTGTATTTGAATGCATCTGTCAAGTATATATTAAATTATGTATAGGCCATGTAAAGTTGTTCCCAAATGAATATGACACACAGTAGTCATAAGAGCGGCCAAAGTAAAGCATTCAGTTTCAAAGGAATTATCGTTTCTCTTACCTCTGTCAAAGTTATACTGCTGGGAAATGATTTCTCCCCAGTATTTAGCACATTCTGCAGACAGCTTCTTTGGTTTGTCTAGACGACGAATTGCTAAAGCTTGGATATGTTTTTGGAAGGCCTCTTCTGTCATATCTTCTATGCATTTCTCCATAGTCTTTAAGAATGCTTCAACTCTGCTCTCTAAATAGTGGGGGGGCTTTTCAGATTGGATAATAAATCGCAGTCCTTGTATGCCGTTTGCCCGCCGTGGACCACTAAACACAATGTAACCTTAGCAAAACAAGAACAGCCACATATCAAGAGAAATCCCTTGCTGAAGCATCACGTTTGCCAAACATGGCATATTTGACAAGAATGCAATGTTATGGTAACTTTATTCTGTATTATAAACAATGCAGGTTTTCAAAATATGCCATTGTATTTTTTTTTGAAACATCTTTATTTCACTGAGGTAAATATCAGTTCAGGGGAGCAGCGAGGAGATGAGGCAGACCAAGACAAAACAAAAACAATTCCATCATCAGGATTAGGTTTCCTGAAATTAGGCTGTACTCTAGTGCTTTATTAGACTTAACATTAGAAACTTACTATTTTTTATAACATCTAATCTGTATTCTCTGTGCTGCAATGTAAGACCACTACTTCCTATCTTATCAATTAGAGAAAAAAAAAGTATTATTCCCTTTCTTACTGTTGCAGCATTTGCTAATCTGAACAACTAATCCCTTTTTCAGTCTTCTACTCTTCTTTTAATAACAAACCTGTCACATTTCTTTTAAATGTTTTATAGCTTTCTCGTAGTTCCATGACACTCAGGTCAAAACTGGATACAGTATTTCAAAGTTCTTACCTGAACAATTTAGGGGTATTATTGTGAGTGCATCTTGAAAGCTTCCATTTATATATCCCAGCATTTTACACAGCAGGACAACACTGCTGATTTATGTCCTACCTCTGACCCACTGTACCCTGTAGAGTTTGCTACAGAACTGCTACCTAGCCAGAAGCTTCCTAGCTTCTATCTGTGCCATTGGTTGTTCCTGCCAAACTGTTTCTAACAAACTGCATCTTATCTTCATTGAAGTCATGTTTCCAAAATGTCAAACTAATTTTAAATTCTAATTCTATCTTCCCACACACTTGCAGCCTCTCCCAGCTTAGTATTATCTGAAGATTTAGTAAGTATACTCACTCTGCTATCATCTAGTTTTGATGAAAATACCAAATAACATTGGCTCACAATAGAGCTCTGTAGAACAATTGTTTTTCAAATTAACTCCTCCAGTCATGACTTTCCAAAGTCCTGCCTCCAAATCTGTAGCACTTCCACCTGGGCACTCCAGTAACAGTTACCTCTCTCAGTTACCTTTCAGAACTAGTTTGATAACTTATTCTATATTTTCAGGAATTAGAATTAAACTGACTAATCTATAATTTCCCTGCTTTTCTCTTTCCTTTTATTAAGGCAACACGAAGCACTTACCTATGTTTATTTTTTCCAATACTTCATCTATCGTCATTATAAGACTTCTAATTCCAGGATTTCATAATTTTGATGTTTATAATAGAATGTATAGTTCATCACACCTGAACTCCCAATTAATCTGTTATTTTCCTGTTCAATGGTAAACCTTGGACTTTGATCACCAGTATTGATTTTGGAAATCATCTGATCACAGTTGATATTTTAAATGAAAACTAACAAAGCCATCCTAAAACATTTTTTTCCACCACTGCCAACTTTTCTCTTTCACTTTCTCATACTGCTAAAGCATTTACTGAAATAATTCTTGTTACTGCTTCTACTGTTCAGCAAACTGCTAACTCCTTTTTCCCTAAGCTTTCTCAGAGATCTTACTAACAACTCCATGAAGTTTACTGAATTTTGCTGGTATTTCTACTGTTATTTTCTCTGCATTTATGCAATGCTGAACACACACAGTTCCTCCTCACTGTTTCCCCCCCACTCTTTACCTGCTACTTCCAACTTCTATACAAAACCTGCCACCAGCACATTTCAAAAATCTGTTAAATAACCTGGATTCTATCCTATTTTCAGCAGATTGTTAAAATTCCTATGATGAATATTTTATGGCTGATTCTGCTAGTTGCCCACAAGAAGTCTAATCTTGCCTGACATCCCTGGTAGCTCAGAGTCATCACACTGAGACATTTGCCTGCTTCTCACCTTGGGAAAACCTGTACTCCTACTCTCCAGTATTTCAATCATGTGAACCGTCACGCAAAGTCTCTCTCTCCTTGTTACTCTGGAATAATCTTACCTGTTCTGTCTTACTGGTTCAGGTAACAATTACCTGTACTTACTGATGAACAGCTGTATTTTTAAAAAGCCAGAAATGTCTTCAACATAGTAGCTCACCATTAACCACACAGCAGTATTCCTAAAATAGAGCTTAGATAGAGTTTAACAGCTGGACTTGATGATCTTAAAAGTCTTTTCCAACCTAAATGATTCTGTGATTGTATGAACCAGCAAGTGCACTTGGAAGTAGTATCACAAGCAGAAAAGATCAAACTAATACTGATCCTTTAAGAAGACTTAGAAATTTAGGAAACTGATCCATCTCCTTTTGGTAAAAGTTCTGATACGAAGTTCTCTGCACAGTGATCAAACTTTTAGTCAGAGTTGGTTTCAGATATTTCAGACTTATCAGAAATATGATGTATGCTTGTTCTCATTGTAGAGACTGTGCACAGTAACGTTTCCTTGAGTCATCAGCGGTTATTTAAAGATATTTAAATTTCCCAAGTGCCCTTTAAATGGCATTCAACCAGCAGGGAAAGAAGCCCTCACCACACCTCACTGTGAGTGTGCAAGTGTGCATCCACGTGTGTATACACACACACAGTCACCACGGGAGAACTCACCTAACTGCTCCTTGGTGCGCAGGGTGTTGAAGCATGGCTCTGAGATAATCTGACAGAAAAGCTCCAAAAACATATTCTCAGAAGTGCTCTGCATGTCTGTCTGGTAATAGATCTCAATGCCACAATTGTTATGAACTTCATTTCTCTGTTGATATACAAACCAACCTCCTAAAAGACAAAGTTAAAACATGCGTCTTCATAAAAATGTACATTTTTATTTTCCACAATTAAAATGAGAGTGGCTTGTGGAATGGAATTATAATAAATGGTTTAGAACTGTTAAAGCAGAATTTCCACTAACAGCATACTTTTCACAAAACAAGAAAATAATGTTTTATTTAAACACATTAAAATGTCACAGCTTGAGCATATCAACTAAATCGAAACTGGTTGTTTCTCCTCAAATATTTTAGGAGCTGGGGTGAAATTCTGTATTGCCTCTACTATGTAAACATTTTCTAGACAATCTGTCAGAAACAATTATGAACGTTAAAAATAATTCCACATTTAATACCAATAACTTCTTGGAAAGAATGTTGTGATAGTTTCCACAGACAGATGACCAGCTATGGGTAATGTGCTTTGGCTGCATACCTGGATATAATCATCACTCTCTGTAATATCTGAATGAGACTGGAATATATGAATGAGGTTGTTTTTTTTTTACCATAGAAGTCAAATCATACAAAAAATACAAGATCAAAAGAATCTGTATTTGTAGAAAAAAAGAGTTGTGTTAAGAACTTTTAGTTTTCTCAAAATAGCAAGCCATTTAGAACAGTCCTTCACTGAAGAGTCAATTAATACTCAAAAATGCTCAAAGAATGCTGTTTATTCAAACATGTATACTATGTGTTGCAGAGTGTGGGACAAAGCTCTTATTTCCATAAATCATTAGGGGAGAATTAGGACTGAATAACAGAAGGCTTTGGATTGGAAGGGATCCTAAAGATGGTCTAGTCCCAATTCCCAAGAACTCCAATTTACATACAAAAATTAAAGGTGAAATCAAACTAATTTTCAAGTGTAACAGGGAGATCATGTATTAGTATGTAATTTCATCTAAAAAAAACCACACCCTAATTATATTTTTGAATTTTAAGTTTAAAATAATTGGAAGTAAGTCTGATTTCAAAACACACTCCTAGCAACAGAGTAATATGCATTTTAAAGTGTCATTAGCCAGAAGAATCTCAATTTAATGCATGTTAAAAAATCATAAATAAACCATTTCACTTACTGTCAGGAAGTTGAACTTCTCTGTATCTCACTAGCTGACTGGGAAGGAGTGGCTTTGTATGAGCATGCTCAATAAGAGTGTCCTCAACCATCTGCATAATTCCTAATGCAGCCTGGAAAAGAAAACGTTAGAGGCATTTCAGTGATCATTAGTTATTCTGTACTTAACAGAAGGGTTAGACTTCCCAATTATTGATGGTGCTGTGAGACAAAAGAAAAAAAAATCAGGAACAGAAAATAGGGATATTGCAATTTAATACTAATACAGTAAAAGTTAAGTAGATGAGAAGAAGTGGGAGTTTGAGGGAAAAGGCTTTGTTTTCTGTAAGTTTAACTTGTCTACATGTTTAGCTACTCCTCCCCAATGCTTCTGAAAGTAAAGCTCAATGTGCTTTTTCTTTTTCCTTTTTTCTTCACTATTTTGGTGTGTTTATCTTCCAGCATTTGAAAATGCATTCCATTGATGTGTTGGTGGTGTTAAGAGTCATCGCCCAAATACTTTGTTTTACTTGATGGTCTACAATAATAATTAAAAAAACCCAACAAGTAAGCTAACAAAAAATGTTAGTTTCATTCAAGTATTTCACTTTAATAGCTCTACCTGTTAAGGGTTATGTGTTCTTGTAGCCTGCACACTGGAAATTACAGTAACTAGCTACAAAGTAGTTTTGGCTGAAAGCTAAAAATCTCTGAGTCTGCATTGCCACCAACTCACAACACAAGTGATTTTATCAAAAACATGCAAAAGGTCTGAAAATTTAATAAAGCCCCCCCAGCACCTCCAAAACCCCACTCGGTATCAAAAAAAAAAGAAGACTGAGGTCTAAAAAACATAGTTTGAAAGATCAGAGGAAAAATACTGTATATTCTTTCAATCACGTCACCATAAATATTTACAAGACTGTTCTTCAGAATTACTTCAGGATTACTTTACTATCCATCTGCTTGCAGCAAATAAAAAAAACTTGTCAAAAAACAAGTATCAGAATGAAATTAATGAAAGAAGAAGTAGGAATTTTAAGCAGCTAGACAGGTCTAATTTTTCAAGTCCAGATTCACTGAAAATTTTTTTACTACTGAAAGGTGTAAATTTTGATTTTAGTTGAAAGAAATTCTCAGATCCAGGTTAAAATTTCTGAGCTTTGCCAGTGATGAGCACATCTTGGGTACCGAAGGACAGAGAAGATTTTCTACCCACATCTGTTAAGGGAGGTTTGCAGACAATTTCTAAACATAACAGGATATGGGTGTAGGACATCCTTCCCAGTTCTCTGGCTTTAGCACTCTTCAATCACTCTTTATGCCAACCAAAGAATGCTCTTCTCTGATGTAACTGCATCATCACGGAAATCTAAGAAATCTGGTCATGCAGCTCCACTTCAGAAGGAACTGACTTTCATAGACAAATGTGTAAGAAATAAGGGAGAGAAACTATGCTTAATTTCTCTGCATGAAAAATACTCTATAAGAATTTTTTTAAAGCATTTTATAGATATATTTGAAAAAGAGAATTTTGTCTATCCATGCTATTAGCTCCTTCATATTTTTTCCCCCTCCTTACTCATTAACTTTCTTCTTCAAACGTTCAGCAGTCATTAGCAGTGTTTATGACCTCTTCTGCTAGTAAAGCATCCCAGGGCTGTTCTAACATAAAAATACTCAAACAAGCCTTTTGAAAAAAGAATGCAAAAACATAGAAAAAAATGTACTACATTTTTACTGCTACCTACATTCAAATATTTGGTTAGACTTCGTATGCAAGTACAAAGTGTTACTATTTTACTGGAAGACAAACCAAACATTGTCTGACTTTTACTCCCCAAACTGAGAGCTGACACTTGGGGGTTTTTATGGCCCACTTATTCCTGTTTAGCTATGTGCAAAGTAATTAATTTGGAGGGATATTGGATTCTTAAATCTTTGCTAGTTAGTCTGAAAGTTTTAAATGGAAAAAGCAAGATCTGCAGCACACTGTTCCATTTGCAGCTTCATCACAGTAATGACAAGCAATAAAGAATTTCGAATACTTATATGTTAAGTTGTTTTTTATTCAGTTTCCAAGAGCAATATAAGGACAGCACTTAGGCTAATAAATCTCATGGGGAAAAATGACACTGATACTTCCACAAAGATAAAAAAAGTAGGAATTTAAATTATGAAATCACATTTGGCAAAACTTCTTTTAAGATCTGAGAAGATTAAACTAGTCTTCCAGTTTTTATTCTGCTTTTAAATAAAAATGGTTTTATTAAAGAAAGTATCACACCAACCTGTTTTGTTATATTGCCATGGAGAAGAGCTTCAATGTGTAACCGTGACAACAGCTGTGCTATAAAGGCCTTGAGACGGGGAAGGGTGACATCTACAATAGATATTTAGACAGTTAAATCATTCACTTGTATTGTAAATTAACAAGGACCTAAGTCATCATTAGATACAGCAAATTTCTTAGAGGAGGAGAAACTCATTATCATGAAAAAGTGAATCTCTCCTTAAAAATGCAACATTGGAATGCTTCCAGGTCTAAATAGCAGCACTCATCATATAGTTTATTTCGCTTAGAATTCACATGCTGTCTGACCCAGATTCCAAAAGAAAGAAAAACAAAAACCTTCTTCCCAATCATGCTGAACAAACATTCATTCTCCAGAGACAACTCTTGCAATCATTCAGGTAGCGTTCCAAGGAAAAGTCTTAGTTCTTAGTTATTAAGAAGCAGCAGGTAGTTTATAACACTCAAGCAAGTGTATATAACACTGTGCATTTACCATACAGACTAAAAAAAGATCCTCAGCTTAAATACAGTGTTTCAGTAGTATCTTTGCAATAAACAATACACCAGAAAAATATTTTTGCAATATATCCCAGTGTACACATACGGCACAACACACATTCTGTGATAGCCTCTCCTTGCAGAGCAGTTTTCATATATAATGCAAAGTATAATTTAACATATAGAATCAATGGAATAAAAGAGGAAGGATGGCTGAATGGATGGGGTGTTCATGGATATGTATTCTGAATCCATACCCTCAAATAAGTACAAAAGCCAGATACTCTGCTTGAAAAGAATGTCTCTATGTATTACAAGAAGATATTAAAAGATCACTGTCCCAGTGATCACCTTTTCTTACAACACAGCAAAATACAGGCAGAGAAAAGTTCTTCAGCTATTAATACAATAATAGGAACATTAAAGATCATTTTAGTTCCAACCCCTCTGCTGTGGGCAGGGACATCTTCCACTAGACCTGGTTGCTCAGAGCCCCACTCCACCTGGCCTTTAAAATCAATTAAATATTTTAATCTGAAATTCCTTCTTCATTCAAATATATGGGGGTGAATGCTTTTTGTTATGATCCATAATTCTCTTTATTCTTTATTAAAGTTGTTATTATCTACAGAAATTAAATATTTTTATTAGTTACAGTTCTTTATTATCTACAGAAATATGAGTTAGGTTTCCCTGATAACAGAAAAAACAAAACAGTTTGGGCACTGGGAAGCACAATGCAGATACACTCTAATGCGTCTGCAAGATGTCAACTAGAGCCAAAGTTTTATCAATGTTGAATAAGCACTGGATTCAACCACCCAGGCTCATACCCACAGAGTTGTTCAAATTTTGCCTGAACTTTTACCAGCAAGTTTTGCCATTTGAGGCCTTTTGGCCTGAACTACTCTAATTTCTTGAAAATGGAGGACAAGTACAGCAAAAGCAGTATCAGCTCGGGTCTGGCACTGCAGGGGCTTCACTTGAATAGCGAGCAGAGCCCAAAACAGGTACCCTCATTAGTTTAGTGACAAAACATTTTCCACAAGAAAAAAAACCAAAAATAATAAAGTTTAAAAGTAGCAGAACATTACCATCTAGAGCTTCTTTTAATTCATCTTTGGTCCAAGCAACTTCTGTCATCAGGAGTCGGAGATAATACATTGCATGTTGATGAGGCTGTTCTGCCCTGAAGTTGTTTAGTGATCTCATGTACTAAAACAAAATCATTAAGCTCAAATTAGAAATCTAGAATCTATGAAATACACATTCTATGATGACTGACCAGGGGTGGAGGAATACTGCTATCAGAAAATGTATTTTTCTCTCAGCTGCTTCCTTCAGCTGATTTGGTCAGACATAAAGAGGAGCATCTGGAAAATTCTTTGCATGGATAAAGGAGGTATGAGAGAACAATTAGTGAGCTTCTCCAAAAAAAACAAACTCCTTTCCAGTCCAGCTGCACCTTTACAAAATAAGAAAAAACCTTTTCCTCTACTAGAGGAACTGGGAAGTGCAAACTAATAGCTTTGGCAAGTCGGATGCATTTCCAGTATAGGACAAAAGCAATTAATTTCAGGGCACGTGAGTGACAAACAGTGAGCCTGAAGTTGCTGAGGAGGAATCCTTCTGTCTGTTCCTAACAGAAGCCAGAAGGTGGTATCTCCCTTATCTGTTTAGTGTAGACTTGAGAGAAGAAAACTGCAGTTTCCCCATCTGATTTGAGTTCTAGAAGTCAGCATGTATTAACCAACTGGTTACCTTTGCAAAGGATCTTAGCCCAGGAGCCAAGACACACAAGGGGAGAAGAAATGTTGCAAATCTTTTCAACACTTCCTTTGCCCCTTCATCCATTTCCCCCCTTGTTTTATGGCTAGGTCCCACTGAAAACATTCCAATTTGTAAAACAGGATATAGAAGTGAAATTTTGCCCCCCCACCACCCCTGCTTAGATTTCTCCTCCTGTCAAAGCAAGCTGTAATCCCCTGATAAATCATAAGAAAGACTGACTAAAAGAAGATCACAGGGCCAGTTATTTTCAAACAAATAATGAAATATAAACACTCTGAGGAACTCATGACCACAAAAAAGACAAGAGAAAAAAACTCCTGGAGTCCCACTAAGACAGAATGTCACTCTTTTTTTCCATGGATAGCCAGCCCTCAGATTTCCTATCAAGTCAATGCAGTTGATTTTAAATGACTGCAAAGTGTAAATTTCTCATGCAGCTTACCGCTTCCTTGATGATTTCAAATCGTTTTTCATCAATCTCAAAGGTAGCCATTTTTTCAATGATCTTCTTGAGCAAGATATGTTGCTTGTCATTATAACCTTTTACAGAGAGCTACGGAAAAAGTGCATAATTTGCTTTAAATGTGGAAGATAAAAAACAATTACCAAGTCTTGCATAATTCAATGAGCAATACACTTTTCAATACTTACTCTAAATTCACCATTTATTGAACAGTAACTCATTCTAAAATTAAATCACTTTACTCATCACAAGAGAACTTATGAATATAATATTGCACATTTGCTCAGGAGTTATAAATAAATTAATGTAATTTCATGTTGATTTAAGCAAACTGTACTCAGAATACAGATTTTTAATGATTACAATACTGAATTTAGTCAGTAAACTGTACCTTTGGAGTACTGAAATGGTTTTACTCTGGGTTTCTCACTTCAGTAATGAAGTCTAGATTCACAATCTTCTAAAATATTTTCTCCAATTTACTTTTAATCTTTTTTCATGTTTATGTTGCTGATCAAAAATATATTTTATGTAAGCTGAAGTAAGCAGCGCTACAAGTAAAGGGGTGCTATCAAAAGCAGCACAGTTTATAACCAGGATGGTGCAGGACTGAAACACCAAGGTAGTTAGTCTACAATTGTAATGATTTCTCTTGCAAAAAAAAAGACACTAAAAGGCCTTTTTTTGTGGGAAAAACTTCAAAATCTGGTATCTCAAAGCAGGAATTTGATTGGATTTGTGCAGTTTAATTTTTAAGAGTAAAACTAAACTTTAGAACACAAACCAACATGCGGGTGAATTTCTGCTTTCCAGCAGAAAGATTTTTTTTTTTCTTCTCTGGTTGCTGAAACATAGCTGGACCATGAATTTGAAGAAAAAGCTATCATAAATGGATTTATGATAAAGGCTGGTATCCTAAATTAGCACAGAACCCAAAGTGTTCAACAATCACCATGGGTGACTGCTTTCATAGTATCTGCCCTTGCTTAAAAGCATCATCGTTGTACAGTTCCACTTATTAATTATAAAACTTCTCACAATACAGAAGACTACAAGTTTTCAGTTAAGATTTAAAATAACTCTAAACTCTCAAACTGTGACTAAAAATAAAGAAAATTACACACTTTTTTTTTTTTTAAAAAAAAAGAATTAATCCTGACCACAGAAACATCAGCAAGTTTTAAACTGAGAACAGATAACCATGTTTGTGGTAAGCCAAGTGAATGCTACAAGGAAATTAGATTTGTGTTGAATAAAAAAAGAAATTGCAGGACTCTGTCATACAGAAAACATAAAGACCATATACAGGATATTTTTTTACCAAGACACTCTGGAAAACAATACTTCTACAGGAACTTTTGAAACACACTCTGATATATAACAATGGCTAACAAAAGCTTTTAATAGAACCTCGAGACAGACTACTAAATCTCCCATCATAAATCTCATAGGAGAAGATGAGTAAGAAGAAATCATTTCTCATAATACCAGTATTTATCAAGTATTGTCAGCACTTTAAAACAGATTATAAAACACGTAATATAAACAAACACTAAGGAAAAGCCATAAATATCCAGCATTGCAATCTAATGAACACATGCACAATCCATTTCCACAGCTCACTACGGCAGAATTAGAGAACTGTAACAAAACCTGTAACGTTGAGATTCATTCAACAGAGAAGTTAATCTTTTTATAAAGAAATCAGCAGCAGTACTTTCCAGATTACCATGCAAGCCAGTAAAAATGTGAACTAGAACGCAACAACTGCACTGCACACATGTTCACAAGACACTGCAATCTTAAACAGGTCACTCAGTACAAAATACAGTTTTGCACTGCCTTTAATTCATGAGATATATGCAAGGAAAAAAAAAAACATTAACCATCTCATTTAGAAATGCAGAAGTCAAATGTTTTCTCCAAGCTCAACAACTCCCAAGCTGTTTAATTTCCTCCTGCGTTTTTTTCTTACTTACAAGTATTGCATTCATTCCTGATGCAATGCCATAGACCAAACCTGAGAGGCGTGCTGCATATGTATACTCTTTTAAATCATCCTTCAATAACCTGATAAACAGGTATGTCATGTTGCAATGGAGAGGATCAGCATAAATGTAGCGACTAACAAAAAGAAAAACAAAAGAAATGCTTTGATACCTCAAGCAGTGACAAAGTAATGGATGAAGAAATATGACTGAAGAGTATGTATATGCAGCCTCATGATCAGTAGTTCTTGAACAGAAAAGCTGAAGTATACCATTTATTTAATAGCATGAAAAGAGGGTCTTTAACCCCATCAGTCAGAAAGCTTTTAATAGATATCTGACAAACTTATATAAATATGTAAGCTTGGATTAGGGTTGCCTTTTTTTTTTAAATGGAGGAAGAAATCTTACAACTAATTAATTTCATGAATGATACAAAAATAAAGAAGAAAATTTGCTTAATGTGAACTGAAAGACTGTTGAAGACTTTGAACAAAATTCAACTTAAAATTCAAATCAAAGAAAGAATGGTTAATAACCAAGATCAAAAGGACTAAAGGCCTTTATTTTTTATTTAAAAGTCCTTCCATCAAATCAATATAAAAATGTTGATGAGTGGAAGTAGTTTCAAGGCTCTAAGCTTTTCCTTGATTTGGGTACTTACATACATCCCATAGATGGTATTTTGGAGATCATAGTTCAAGCCAGCTAGTTCTGCTGCATATGCATACTCGTTGAGGGAGTCTTTGAGTAGTTCAAGGTACAAATAGGCCATGTTACAATGCAAGGGATCCACGTAAGCAAATGGGCTGGAAGAAAATGTTGAAAGTAAAATAGGCAGTTTAAAATTATTTCTCTGTTTCTTTTGGCCTTTTAAGTTTGATCTGAAGGAAACAATAATTTCTGTGATTTTATGCTGATGGATCCGAATATGAAGGACAGCTGCTTTGAAGCCAAACGTGAGCATACCTGAAAACAGTTACTTAGCTTGCTTATGGTTTGGGGACTACCTAAATAAATATATTGAAGATTCCAGGGTTATTCTATTTGTGCTCATAAATCAAGACACATTATATTTACTTGGCTGCACAGTCAGAATTCTTCAGGAGTAAAATAAACTAAGTATATCAACATAATTTAACAGATCAATATGAAAGCCCACACACTAAATATTAATTCAATTAACACTCATACACAATCAGAAAACAATGTAGTTTCTATTACAAAAATTAGGAGATGAGCAATTTGTGGTATGAAAACACAGTACGTTGCCAAGTTCCGCTCTGGAAAGAAGTCTGGCATATCCACTGTCATAACACCAAAATATTTTGTGCTACCTTTTCAATGGCAACAGCAATACAAGACCTACTGTTGTATTAGAAGCACCTGATCACACACAATACTGTCACAAATTTCTCTAAAAGAGAAAAGCAACTCAAAGACTCAAGCCATGTTTCAACTGTGCTAATGGTTAAATACCTGTGTGTTTTAAGGATTTGTGAAGTCACATTATTTGTAATATGATTACTTATTTCTACAGTTTCTGAAGTGCATGCACATTCATTATCAATTTCACAGGAATAATCAGCAGTATCTGAAACAATTTGCTGGATATGTCTTACAATTCAAACCCATGCCATTTGCATTTATATTCTCCAAGCAGTCACTAATGGTGATATTGAGAGCCATGTCATCACATATGTTTGTACCTATACAGAATGGTATTTCTCAGTGTATACCAACACTAATGAAGTAAAACCAAGATCACATGACCAGAAAACATAAGCTGTTAACTTTAAAATACATTGCAAAGGTATTTTTAAGAAGGTTCCTGGTTGTTTTTAGTAAGGCCATGACTTCTCCTTCCTTTTAGATTAAGGAAAGAAAGCAGAGGAAGAGATTTTAAAAAACAAAAAAGCTATTAGAGAAGCACAGCCTGCTATAGTCTAAAATCTTAGCCCAGACCAAGCAAACACATCAGTAAAAAAACCAAAAAGGGCTGCTAATTTCATTTCTCCCTAAAATTTCCCAAAATTGAGCAATTTCAATATGCCCAGTGATGCAAATCCAATTACTATCAAACTTTTTAATTAAGACTGAATTCAAAGCAAGATTTAGGTCAATCCTATGTTACCATAAGCCTTACTCCAAACTCATTATATTTTTTTCCCATTTTGATACTACAATAGAGACTTAATCAGTTTGAGTGATTACTATGTCTGTATCAGTTATAAATTCTCTATACTCATTTAGCTGGCGAAGGCCAAGAGGGAGTTTTGAAAATAATGGTGACTACTAAATCATTTATCCTCAAGTGAAAATAACTGAAAATTAGTACAACGCTGTTCTCAGAGCTGCCTCCTATTACTGACAGTTTTGTAAATAAATGTTTATTTCTAGTTTACCTTTCTTGCTAGACTCAAGCAGAACAACTTAATCACTGACAGTGTATTTGAAAAATCATAACGTCTAGTCTTTTTCAAACAGAGCTGGAAGTGACATAGCTGCAATCAACACTGAAGTGTTGAGCTGATAACTACCTTTAATGAGTTTTCAAAATATCAGCACATTATTTGGTTATTCTGCTTCCTTTTAAAAAAGGATACTTGTCGAGTTCTTAAGTTGCAATTCACACAAAAGCAAAAGCTTATCATCATCTTTTAGGTCAGCTGGTAAATCCCATGTCAGACGTTTTTACTGTGGTGTTTCTTTAAGACAAAGATCCCTGTAAGGATTTTCAGTTTTGGAATATTTTGATTTTAAGAGACTCATATACTCATTGTTCCTATGGGATTTGTGTATTTGAGAGAGAAATCACCATCATCAGCTTGCTCTTAATTCATTTACACAGCAACTGCTGCTATAACATCTGGGTAAGGAATATTTTCTATGATTCATGATGACCAGGGCTGCAGGCAGAAGAAATCCTCTTTTTTTTTTTATCTTACTGAAGCAGTCTGTAGTATGAAAAAAATTTTGTAATCTGCTACAAGGCAGCACAGCCTTCATATTCTGATCTAGAATTGAGGCTAAAAGTTTTTACAAAAACCCATGTCATTAAGATGGCTTTATTCACCTGGTCACAAGAGATACAGGTGATTTCACTGAGTTTTATGAATAAACACTTTACATTTCACCTTTCCTTCAGTGACCATCAGCATCACCATAAAAAGAGAGAGAGAGAGAGAGATTCACCAAGAATCTTTTTTAAGTATCAAAACTTGGCAAATCTGCTTATACCTTCTTTTGGAGATGATGTAGCAAATATCGTTATGTTCACCTGCAGTTACCATCTTATTTTTAAGGAAAAGGAAAGAACCTTCACTCCCAACCCAAAGAAAAAGCCAACTTTCCACCTATAACCATTTCCAGGAGGAAAGAGGCAAATCATTCCATTACATTGATCATCAAAGTTCAAATACTCCTGGCTTTTAAAAAGGGCTCACTGAGATCAAAGTACAAATCTAACTGGGAAACTCCATCACCACTGATCCAAATGAAGATGCCTCTGCTCAGTGCAGGAGGGTTGGAGTAGATGACCTTTAAAGGTCCCTTCCAGCCTAAATGATCCTGTGATACTGTGCGTATGTGCACATCCTTTTATACCTTTGTGTGCTCCACAAAAAGTCAGTTATTATCTTTTAATCCTTCACAAACTGGTATAGAGATTGGTTTACTCATAGTTCATTTGAAATTGATTGTAAAAAACCACCATAACTGTATAACAAACTCAAGTGTCCATCAGTAAAATCCTATTTTGGATTTTAGCCAAACACAGTACAAGGAAAGCCACAAAGTATGAACGAAGAGGCAAAGAATTGCAATTATTGTTCTCTGAATAAGAGAAGGGCAGTTACCATTTTGATCCTCCATTTCCTGACACATCAAAGTTGAAACAGTTGTAACATTTGCACTGTGGTTTCAAAAAGCAAAAAGAAGGAGCAAATTTCCAGGAAACCTATTTTCCCCAACTAGTTCACCAACACCAGTACCAAGATATGACACACTCTGGAAAAAACTTCTATTTAAAATTCTTCAAGAACAATTTCAGGTGGTCCCTCAAAACAAGGACTCAACAGTGCATCTACGAGCGTCTGTGAGAGCCCTCATTATAGCCTTTCCAGCAATACCACTGAATCATTTAATTAGCCAAAGGAGAGTCCCTGAATTTTTGTACCTTTCAGTAATCCAACACAGAAACAGCTGCACTCTAAAGACAGCAGTACTTTTTTAATTCAAACATTAGAAATTTATGTAATGAAGAAGGCCCATCAATGGCATGCTTACTTAAAGAAAGATCATTTTCCTGTGATGAAAGTAATGCAAGACCAGGATTAACATTATAGCTTTGTATCATGCATCTTGGGGTGAAAATCACACATTCACTGATAATACAGACAATGCTCTTGGAAAAAAAAAAATCAGTTGTGGCTGTCAGTTTAGTATAATATCAAAATTTTAAGCATTTTTTACAATGGCTTACATTATTCAAATGAGACTAGAATTTGAAGCTAAAATCATTATCAGAATAGCATTTTATAAAGAAAACACAGATCTTAAAATAGTTGTGATCTAGTAATTAATGTAAAAATACACACATTTTGAAAGAGTATATTGCAACATGTAGTAGCTCCTATTGGCAGACATATTTCAGGTATAGCAAATAAAACATAGAAGAAAATTTGTTTTCCTGTTAATATAGATGGAGCACCTCAAACTGCTTGCCATTCAATTACTGCATAACTTAGATGAGTCTACCTGCTATCTATACCTTATTATATATTCAAAGTAAGGACAAACATTTTAAAGTCAGTGCATGCAAGAAGTTTTTGCCACAGAAATGCAGATTCCAAATAAACAAGAGACTTTTGGAGAGCAATTTATGTGATATACTCAACACTGCATACCTGAAAAATTCAAAGTTGAGACAAGCTTTCGGCAAAAAAAATTTGTCATCTTGCTTGAACCATAGTTTGCTCATGGCAGTGTCCTGTGTCAAGAAAAGAGGTTTTGTTAAAGTCACTTGACTTTTAACTGCAATATATGGCACTATTTTAAAAAAAGTCTCTTCACCGCTTCAAATCTCAACTTGGCATTATCCCCTTAAATTCATTTTCTTGTTACATGCATGTGTGGATACATCTATCTATCTGTACTGAGACTCTCTTCTTACCACATGCCACCTTACCAAGCAGTTAAATGGCCTCAGCAATGTGAATGAGCTTAGGATCAAAATGGGAACTACTTTTCTAGAGAGGAATGATAAAAGACAAATATAGAGTTAGCTGCACAAAATTCCCTGCTAATGCTGGCAATAAAAGATGTGTCATTATGCAGCACTAGAGCAGCATATCATTACATGGTTTAGAGTAAGAATATAACTGTGCATTATTGTTATTGTTGAAGTTATTATTAATGCTTTATAAAACAAATAATGCATTATATGTTGTTTGAACGTAACATCAGAAACAAATACACATTTAGAAAAAGTAGTAAAATTAATTGGAAATTAGTTAAAAGATCTGTCTCAAAAATTTTTAAGAATAATTTCCTAGTACGGGAAATTCTCTATAACAACCCCCTCTATTGCTTTTTCTCCTACAATAACTGTAACATACATGCTCCATCTCTTTTCCAACTTTAGTTAACTTTATCTCCCCAACACCTTTTCTTAGTACTGCCATGCATTAGATGAGAGAACTTTGAAATGTAAGGCTATTTTTCTTTTTCATATTTTTGAGTAGATCTTTGCTTCTCAAGGATTTCGCATGGTATTTTCCTCCTCTTTTTTGCATAAAAGAACTAGGTCCTGTCTCTTACAGCACACCTTCCTGCACAGTATCTGACTCACACTAAAAGGCCAAATTACAGCTTTGCTCAAAGACAACAAAGGTTTTATTCTGTTAAATTGCTACGATGCCATTTAGAATATATCCTATATGAGGGACAGAATGCTAGACAGTAAAGCCTGTCTGTGGTACTGCAGACCCCATCCAACAGCTGAACGTCACCAGCTGCAGGCCACAGAACTGTCTGGCCCTCAGGCCACAGCCCATATCCCAACTGCCCTCTATCCTGAGGGTTTTTCAGGGCAAGATGGGCCATTAGGACAGAGGTGACAGAGTGACATGCTGGCAGTGAAAACAGCCATTCCATTCCTGCACTTATGTTCCTGTCCCTCCCCTTTCTCCACAACCCTGGTCCAGTCCTTAGTAAGCTCACTTAGGGACACAAAGCAGCAGAAAAGTTGGGGGTTTTGTACATCATTCTGGCTGATTTAGTTCTTGCAATGTTTTGCTGTGGGGTCAGAAAAATGTCAGTGCCTAAAAAAAGAAAATAGCACAGACATACAGCTGGAGACAAAAAAATAAAGAGATTCAGGCAGAACGGATAAAGTGTATTTCATCAATTGCATAAGATTAAAACCATTTTCCCTTGGAAAACATATTTTAAAGAGAAAGGAAAACCCAAAAGCAAATATATTTCCAAAACAATAACACATTAAAGCAAAGTTTTTGTGTGGATCAATTACCAAGCTGCTACAGAGACAACGAAGGACCATCCCGTTTCTGCAGCAGACCAGTTAGTGTTACTTAATAGAGCTGTAGTATGTGTCCCTGCTAAAGTTTAGGGTTTCTATTCAAGATGAACATAAACATATGCTCAAAGTCTTTCTCCATTAATAATATTGCTTCAAGTATATACTTAAAATGTCCTGTGCAGAACAAATATGTTTTCCTGAAGGGTATCTTTGCACTAGAGTAGACTTCTATTCATCTTGTGTGAAAGAAGGATTCCTGAATTGAGTATTCAAGATGAAATACAGCATGTAATTGCTGAAGACTTTTCCTATTTATCCTCTAGATAAGCCCAGAACAGGGATGAGCATTAGCAAAGACAACCACGCTTTACAATAGTAAGAAGTAATTTTTTCTATGTTTTACATACTCAGAAAAAACTGAGATTTTCTAAATATTCTGAGATTATGAAGTGATGCTTCTGGAGAAGCATCATCGAAACTCCATGAAACTGGAGAGTGATGTCCATTTACGTGTTTACACCTCTCTCCCTTTTTCCATGCCATCACACGCTTTTTCCACACCCAGTTACAATAGAATAGCCTTGTCTACACCCTTGCCTTACTCAACACTGCTCAAAAAAATATAAGAGCGGCAGTCACTCTTCTGCTGAATAAACAGCCTCATTACTATGTCTATCAGAGCTAACACAATTTCAGAAGGACAGAAAGAGTTCAAGCTGTTTGCAGATTCATAAGTAGGAACCCAAGTTGTCATAATCCACTACTGTCTTTCCAGCAGTATCTTGAAGTTCTGTACTTTTTTGTTTGTTGCATTTTGGAATATGACATGACTTGCATTTTAAAAATACAGAGGAATTAACTTCCCAGGAGGTTATGCAGCAAATGGGACAAATACAGACAGTTTACCTTGACAAGGGCTGGGTACTGTGTTGCATCTTTTTCCAATGGCAAAATCTCAAAGTTTGTAGGAATGAACTCATTCTTCATTGGAAGCTTGAATTTCCCATTCAAGTCAGCATTCTGCCATTTCTAGACAAATAGGAGAAACAGTGAGGCTAAGCAGAATTTCTGCTTAACTAATGGGTATATATTTATTTCATGCTGAAACAAAAGATTTAAAAATGTGTTCCACCACCTTCTGTATAAATACTATTAAGATAACAGGGAAAGAGAGAAATAGCTGGGAAAACAAGTCTAAGTAGACTACCAGCAGGATGAAATGCTCTGAGGAGGAGGATGGTGATAAAATGTAATTCTAAAAAGTTTACGGTACAGTGAAAGGTGGTTTTATGTCTCATTTTCTGCTACTATGAACTGTAAATGACGATATTAAACTAATACTTCAACAGGAATTCTAATCAAGGACATAGGTGTGGTCTAGCAAAAGGAGGCATTCCTATGCAATGTCTGTTCAGAGCACACCTGGAAGGTTCAATTCAGCTTGGAGGTATATACTTTGCAGCCATCTCTTCTTAAAAGATTAGAACAATAACAAGTTTCAATAAGGTTTTTCCCACTTCCTTTACTCGAGTTTTCATTTTTAGAACCTCATTTAACTGCCAATATATATGTTTTCTATGTTGCAATAGTGAACTTCAAAAATAATTACATATAACAGTTGTAAAGATTCTTAAGTACAGATTAGTTCATTAACATATAATAGACACTATTACATTTTAAGAAGTTAATGCTTACATTTTTGAATAGCCACAGTATATTACAGATCATTTACAGCAAAAACATTTTAATATGTCATAACATTAAACAGACTTATTGTATGATTTTCATGCTATGTAGAGCAGCAGATTTAACTTCTCCCCTGAACGAAATGGAAAATTAGACAAAGAATTTGCCACTGACTTTCATTTGCAGGTATTAGAATATATTAAAAGTTTTAACATGCCTTAATAACTTCATCAGAAATTGCTTCCTGCTTGTACTGTGTTCCATACCAGTCTTCTGTTCGATCAGTTTTTCCTTCAAAAGACTTGGAAACTATTGCAACTCTGAAAACAAAGAGACAAAGCACTTTGTCATGAACGTGTCTGAGAAAAGTGTGAGAAATTAGCCCAAGTACTGTTTCTGCTCCATCCCCAGAATGCATTTATATCTGCAAACAGTCCCTGGACAATTACAGGGTACCCTGGATAGCAAGTATATGTATACAGAACTACATGACTAACAGCATCATCCAGATACTCCCTGAAGTAAAGAAATACAGAAAAAAGGAAATTACAAATTAATCAGTATTTTTTCAGTAGTCTACATGATAGGAATCAAGAAACCTCCTTTAATTCTTTTGAACAATCTGCAACACAAAAGATTATTCAATGGAAATAAGTGGCTAACTTCAAGAGTAAACAGATATTTCTAAGAATTTTGAAATGGCTAAAAAAGGTAGAACAATTACCTCCTACATATATTTAACAATCTTAGATGCTGAATAGCACAGTAACAGACTTTGTCTTGTGCAGATGACTAAAATGCACATTACAACATCAAAATATGTGCAATTTAAGTGTTCTTTTTTAATCACAGCATCTTCAGACCAGGAACATTCTGTTGTTTATTTCTAACATGCACAGTAAAGGGGGGGGGCTGGGGGGGGCAAATCAAAGCAGGCATATGTGGATGTGCCTCAAATTATAGTATTTTCACTTTTCAATACACTTGGGATGAATTTTGCAATACACTGAAAAGTTTAAACACGTAGACTAATACTGTAAATGCCCTTGTTCTTATCCCTCCCAGTTCATCTAATGGTTACACATAACTAAATGATCCAAGAAGGTTGAAGAAAACAGAATTCTAATGTATTTAGTTTTAGAAAACCCTTCTATGAAGATTTTCAAATTATTAACGATTTAATCCCTGCATTGCAGCTTGAGTAGCAGGAGAGCAGTGAGGTAAACAGCCAGCATTAGACGCATTTAAGTACATATCAGTCACATGGAACTGTAAAGACATGTTCTCTAACAACAGATTCCAAAGCTGAAGTAGGACTTGCCCCACAGATGGTCTAATTTCAAGACAATATTTTAAGTCATATACACTGAAGAATGTTTCAGGGATGCAGATTTCCTCTGGAGTGAGAAAGGGAGAAATTTCTACTCCCCAGCTTTTCCTTAAGGAACCACATGATTAGCATAAACACACAAAACAACCCTTGCTCCTCTGCAGAAGTTATGCAATATCCAAACCAGAATGAGAATACTTATTTTTAGTAGCTGCATTTTATTTCACCTCTCATTGCTAAAAGGCAATAGACATGGTTATCATTTTTACTGTGCCTTCATAAAAAATGGTTTCATATCTGTTTGCATGATGTATCTATTTCATTTTTTATACACAAGAAGCACTATTAAATATTCAGCAAAGAACTGAGCACTTTAATCCTAGGGAATATTTGTTCTTGCAAAAAAGCAGACACTAGCTTGGTCAACAAGGTGGAATCTGCTAGAGAGATTGTTGTTTTTATTAACGCGAACCATAGAAATTTTCTGGTTTGCATTTTAACTTGAACAGCTGGTAAGTAAGAGTTCTATCATGCTGTGCTGGTTTTGCCTGGGGTAGAGTTAATTTTCTTTACAGTGCCTGGTATGGGGCTGTTTCGGATTTGTGCTGAACACGGGGTTAATAATATACAGATGCTGTTGTTGTTGCTTGAGCAGGGCTTACACAGAGCCAAGGCCTTTCTGTGCTCCTGGTAAGGAGGCTGGGGGTGCATGGCACGCTGGGAGGAGACATGGCTGGGACAGGTGACCCCAGCTGACCAAAGGGATATTCCAGACCACATGGGATCATGCTCAGTGTATAAAGTGAGGGGGAGAAAGAGAAAGGGGGAGACATCTGCAGTGGTGGTGTTTGTGCTCCTGAGTAACTGCTGTGCGTGACAGGGCCCTGCTCTCCTGGATATGGCTGAGCACCTGCCTGCCCATGGGAAGCAGTGCACTAATTCCTTGTTTTGCTTTGCTTGTGTGTGCAGCCTTTGCTTTCCCTATTAAACTGTCTTAATTTCAACCTACAAGTTTTCCAGCTTTTACCCTTCTGATTCTCTCCTTGATCCCACTGGTGGGGGGCTGAGCAAGGGGCTGTGTGGTGCTTAGTTGCTGGCTGGGGTTAAACCACAACACTGGTACAAAGTTTGTAAGAGACCATGAAAAACAAAGTCTTTCAGAATTTCAGAGCAACCTACCAGGTCTTTTCATGCAGTAAATAAAGGATAAAAATAATAATTTAAAAAAAAAAAGTCTTAAGTGAAAAGATTATCCTGGTAAATTTCCAATAATCACATGGTCTGAGAAGCAAGTCAAAGATGTCTTAAGCTATAATATACAGATGCCTGTTATTCAACATTTCCTCCTTCTACCCTTCTCCAACATACTGATGTTCAAGCAGTAGTGACAATTCAAGCATCCAAACATTGGCTGTAGGAACACACTAAAATTAAAGAGCTAAAAATAATTCTGTCTGCTCAACTATAGAAAATGAAACTTTGGAAATCAGCATTGTAATTCTTCATGCAGTTTTGCTTCAAGGGATCCTCCTGCTCTCCCTGTATCCCAAATCACTACTGGAATGATTACTGACATTTTGAGCTCTCAGAAACATACCCAAAACAACATAAACAAATCAAAAGGGATTTCACCTGTCCAAGAATTACAGCTTAAACCCAGATACAAGCACCAACAGGAACGGAGATCAGGACATGAAAAGAACAGAAGAAAAGAAGTACAGCAGGTAGCAGGTAGAAATAAAATGCCATGCAGCTACTTAAATGTATTGTAATGCATCTTTACAGATACCAATTATGTAATGTTATTTTTGCTTTTCAATTCTGTGTTGTGCTGTATAGCACTATGAACATCCCTGTGTTTTTAAGACAGTGTTGAAATTCACGGGAAAAGCAAGACAGGCTATCAGGCAATCTTCAATAGGACCTGCTTAAAATGCAATTAGGCTTGAGCCATTCATGAACATGGAACACAACTCAAACTATAAATGCAATTTACTTCTGTATTTACATTCCTGTACATGTAAACTGTTGTAGTTACGGTCAATTTTCAAAATCAAACACAATTTCTATAATATGACACATATTTACTAGATACCATCTTGTTTTTCACTCTTCTAAAATCTAAAATGAAGCTAAAAATGACAGATCCACAGGAGAGTGCTACTTGGGAAGAGAATGTGTGTTTTGAAATGAAGGTACTTCCAGGAAAGATTATCAACTATTATATTCCAGATTTACATAACAAAACTCAAGGTTCTAAGGGTGAAAAAGTAATAGTTAGAAAGCACAGTATCTGTGATATTAGTAACAAACATGTCAGAGCAAATTTGTTGCAAAAGAAGAAAATCTATATTTATAAAGGATCACTGGCCTTTTTTAGGACTCAATTTAAACTGTGTCTTCCAAATTATTGTCAAACAATGGAAAAAAATGTATCTTATTCATATGCGTAACATAATGTGACTGAGGTAAACAGTAAAATCCTCCATTTGTTCATAAGTTCCCTCAAAACCATCAGTAAAACCGATGCAAGGCAATACAGGCTATTCGAAGCCACTTGCATACAAATCTCATCAGAAACCAGAGTAAGAGTGGAATCTGCATGCAGAGAGATGCTGCTGGGGTGCAGCACTGCAATCACTCTGCAGAAGCACAAGTTATTTGTCAGGGTTCAGTAAAACTAAGTCGCTACAAACACCATGATTTGTGGGGGGAAATAAGTGAGCAAATTGTGATTTTCAAAATCGTAACTCACATACAATGCAATTCAAAATAAACACATACGTTCTGTATATCTAGCATGTTTGTCATCAGGGGTGAGCATCCCCAACCACCTTGTGATAACAGTTTGCTCAGTGTCTAGGAAATTTCAGCAGTTAGAAATTTCTGCATCAACATTTTTGGCACTCATTTTATTTTTCTTCCCTCTAAGATAGTACTAGTGCTGTACTTCTGATATCACGAGAGGAAAAAAGCCCACTTACTATCCAAGGGAAAATGTTCTTTAGCTGTTTAATCTGGTGAGTCACTATCTTCTTAAATTTTAATAAGAGCATTTATTCTGCAGATGATGAGGAGAAAAACGTATTGGAAATGATAGGAAAATTACATTTTTCAGCTAAGACTGTGACACATGCCAAGTCTATTCCCTTATCTTCACAGATGGCTGGCAAAACCCAATACAGTTTGAAGAAGTAAAAATGATACATTTTAAAATGTTTCTCTCTAAGGGAAATTAAGGCACTAAATGCAACAAGTAGAGTGCAGAGTGGGAGGAGAATACGAAAACTTCCTGCTATAGTTCAGTTGAATAGAAACACATATGGACACTTAGTTCCATCTGTATGGAGTTTTCATGCCTTTTAAGCACAAAGTTTTTTAAGAAAATAACAGTGGAAAATCTATACTTTTTAAAGAGACATTGATCAGTAGTTTCGAACTCTGAATGCAGTTACTACAACACAGCTATGCCAAGAAAAGTCCTTAGTGTAGGTGAATTCCAATAGGGTTATGATGTAAAAAAACCCTCAATACAAAACAGGAAAATAACCTCAAAAAACAGGCAAATTTAGGATGTGGGACATACTAACTCTTTCATAAAAAGGGAAAATAGAAAGGTAAACATGTGCATCCTATCAGTAAATGGTGGATAACCAAAACACAGATATTTAAAGCGCATGTTCACAGAGTTTTTTTTATTAGTATATAAAATTTGCTCAAGAAATGATAAAAGAAGGAAACAGGCTACTAGATTGGTAATTCACTGCATGCATAAAGATACAAATGCAATAACAAAAAAAGTACAACAGAAGGAGACCCTTTTATTAACATCTGTAATCTCAACTCATTCTTTCAGGAGAGCCCTCTAAAACTACAAATCCACAGTGGCTTTCTTGAGTCTTTGTAATGTACCATGACATCACTTTTAGTAACACTTAAGTTTCTCTCTCCCACAATAATTTACCTTGTCAGCAATTTAAAATAGAAGATATTATAAAATTATATCCCTTGTTACATTATACTATACTTTGAAAGGTAAAAAAAAATTGCAGTCCATTTTTTTTTTTTTCATAAAATAAGCCCTTAAAATGTGTCTAAAAGGAATATGGAACTATAAGTTCATTTTTTTAGTCAAACAAAAATAGGAAAGTCTGATTAGCTCAGATCTCAAAATACCTGATGGCCCAAATAAAAAATTTAATTCCCACTAAAACTGACTTATACTTTTAAATCTGAGAAAAAATCAGCTTCCTATATTACCACGGAAGCGAAATGGAAGCACAGCTGTAACTTTTGAGTCTACTCTGAAAAATGTATCATTTACAGCAGCAGGATAAAGCAACGTGACACTCAGGAATCTTAAATTTGGTTTGATGTTTTGTGTTTCTTTTTATAAGTTACATTTTTGGAGATGAACAAATAGTCTGAACATGAAGAGAACTAAGGTGTGAATGTACAGTTGTTGCAGCTATTGCAAACACCAGCAAGACTTTAGTCTACAAATAAAAAGCAATACATTATCATTACTTTGACCATATACCACTCTAACTCAAAGCCTGCCTGCTGCTCCATCATTACAGACCTCCTGCAGGCCTCATCTGATCCATGTTAGAACAACAGCTGAATCTGGCTGTTAGAACTGCATTTAATCAGTCTTTGGTTACTCTCTAGTTTTTATATATTTATACTTGAGCCTTAACAGGACAGCTGTCATCATAGCTGTGGCCACTTAAGCTTCAAAGAACTAACCCACTGGTACTTACTATCTTTAAGCCCTACTAAAATCTCTGCAACAAAGAGAATATGTAATTATCTAACAATTAACTGAAGAGGCCATAAACCCAGATATATTCCAGTTCTGAAAGTCCTTTTTTCTCCCAATATTTAGCCTTTTTTTTTTATTTTATCCAAACGCTTAAAGTTACACATTTCTTCATCTGTTAAGTGGCACTTATTGCTTAAGGCAGGTAAAGTGAAGAAAGATGAAATGCAACGTATTTTTTTCTGAATCTAAAAAGCACAAGCCAGAAGAAAGCAGGGTGACACATATGACATTTAAAGCCCAAGATTACACAGAGACCCACAGAAGTTACTAATGACCCCCTCTGATGGCCAGCTTTCTTGTCACCACGCCATTATCACTCTGCCATTATGAAAACTTTTGAGACCTTCCTGTACAGAAAAGCACACCTATTCCTGTCCACTTTCGTTTACAAGACACCTCCACCACTGTGCCTCTCCAGTCCAAATGTCCTGCACTTTGCTACTTGAAAAGTCACACAGACACCATTCAACACAGGCTGAATTTGAAGCCATCTTCATCAACTGAAGGATCAATGCTACCCAGTTGCTTAGTATGCTAAAGATGATCACCTTCAGTTGGTATTTGTTCCATTTTAGGAAAAAAAATTCAGCTTTTATTTAAAATTAATCCACAATTACCAGGTGTGGAAAAAGTTCCCCTCTCCAGAAAGTCACTCATTCAAATGGGAAAAGACTGATGCAATACTACAAAACTACTACAAGAAAGACACATACCATAGTAAACTATTTTCTTTGGTTACTAATATTCCAAACATGTTACAGCTAAATTCCGTAACTTTTTAGAATTACTTTTTCCTCTCTTTCTAATAAGATTCTTGCTCATCTTGCTTTTCTTTCTCTTGCCCCCCCCCCCTTTATTTTAATTGTGGACAAAGATGAATGCAAAATTGCAACTGCAAGTGCAGATATGGGCTTATGTTACCTAAAATTAAAGAACATCATGAAATGGATGTTCACTACATATTTGAAAAAAGCACACCACATTCTTCTGAAAACCATCACCATTATTCTTGTGCTTATAGCATCATGCTACAGACTTGAATTTTCTCCCTCTACCAGTATTCTCTACACTTTCCTTTCCCACACTACTAACTTTATTTATGGCTATTTTATGCTTAAGTACTGTCAGCTGGAAGGAGTGTCCAAAGATGGGCATAGCCGGCAACAGGAGTAACACAGAACATTCATGAGCAGTCTGCAGTGTCCAGCAGCACCTGACAAGCCTAAAGAGTCTATGAATGTATTTACATACATTATTTCCTCCAGCAATTTTTAAATGTTTAAGTAAGAAGGTGCTTTGGAATTGTCTGACTAGTACAAAGACCCAATTTACATTGTGAGCAAGATAATACTGACTGTTTTCTTGCAGTGTTAGGAGTCACATTTTAAAGCTATGTGAAGATCTAATAAACATCAGATCTAATTAAGCACCTGTAGCTTCTTTACTGAATCAGTACTAACTCAGGTTTACTTCTTTCTTGTAAGCAATTCTAAAACCAGTAAAGAAAAAGGTTCACATTCAGGTGGAATTTGATGAAGCTTTCTTCAGAGAGCAAGTAATTACACATTCTCTCTTTTAATTACTAAAAACAGTCTTTATGTTAAAAGTATCAAATTTTCAAGGACTTGAGTGGTAGATTAACACGAAAATATATTCAAAATAGAAGTACTAAATACAATAGGAAAGAGAACGTGGAAATTTTCATTAAAGTATTGTTTGTTCAAAGTATGATCTCTCAAAATAGTCAAGCTTCAGCTGAAGTATCCCACACACATTACACACAGATCCACACCCACACACAAAGATATAGGCCCTTCTTTAAAGGGCATTAATTACCATGGCAACTACTGTTGCTGATATAGGCAACTCCATTTATTCTATCATTACTTGCATACCCCATAGAACACCAGAACCCCATGACATTTGCAAATACCGTTCATAATCTGAGTTTATCCTACTTTATCCAAAATTATTTGAAATATACCATCTTTTGACAACAAATTTTCATGGATCTTAGACTAAATGAATATACAAGACAGACTTGGTCGTACAAAGAAACATAGTGAAGATTTGTGCCCAAACTTTTAAATAATTCACAGTAATTTCAGAAAGCTGAAATACATAAACCCTGGAAATACACAAATGCATGTCTCGTTGTCCTTCTACATCTAACACTGAAAATTTCAGCGTGGAACATATTCAGAAACAGCACCCTCTCTATCGTTATTTTTTCCAAAACACTGATAAACAGGTGCTCAGATACAGTAAGACTGATAGAATACACAAGCAAAAGCTTGTTACTCTTTTCATACAGTTTCATAGTATCTCTACACCACTAACTTAATATTCCAATTTATTACAACATAAACAAAAGTTGTATTAAAGGAACTGAAAAAAGGGTTTAAAAAAAAAAAAAAAGAAATTTCAGGCTTCAAAGTGCTAGTGTAACTGTTGCCTATGGAACCTTGCAAAAATGGAGACTGCACCACATTATACATTTTTACAAATATATACACACACACAACTTGACATATCGTTCTACAGAACCTCTGCCCTGTTCAGTGCACAAAACAACTAAGAAACAGTTATTCAGTATTTTATGTGTTTTGCCCAATGCATGATCTGACTTCTCTTTGTAATATTCACCTCTTTCTCCAAATAAACAGAATTACAATGTCACTTCCATAGCACTCAGTGTTACAGGAACTAATTTAATGTTTTAAAATATCCCAAGCGATATTTTTTTCATAGATAGGAAGTCAAGTGAATCAAGAGATTCACAAGGTTATACAGTAGGAAGACTTGGTAAATTTTAGCTTCTCTGCCCTCTGTCGAGAACACTTGGTCTCCACCAGTTCTGCTGCTGTCCTACCTCAGGTTCCTTGTCTCAGACCTCTTCTCTTTTCCTCTTCTGTTTGCCCACATTCCATGATTCAGGACAGCCAGCTGTATATCCTTGCTAAGCCTGACAACTTTTCCTCTAGACTTCTCTTACCTCCACTCTGTCAATTAGTCTCACTGTCTATGCCCCTCTCATTTATTTGTCCAATCTACACTTAACCATGCCCAGCAATTCCACTAGTCAACCTCTCTATCCATCCTTGAGTGAGATACCAGTTCCCCACAGCTACCAATAGAATATCCCACGATGTCCTCTGCCAGCTCTCTTGTCCCAGGCTCTTCCCTCCTTTGTTAGATACTTACCCAGCCCATGTTTCCAGACCTAGCTCCAAATCATTAATTAAAGCATTCTATACAAAATGTCCCAATAATCTAGTGAGGCAGGATAATTTTCCCAGGCTTTTCCTCAGAAGAGTTGAGCTACTCTGAGTAAGAATCTTCTTAAAAACTGTTTCAGTCCAAGGGAACCACTCTGCATAGAAAGGCCTGAAATGACGTTTCTGTCTGAACAGGAAGAGTTGCACACACTTATAATTTTCAAAGGGGACCAAAGACATCAACAGAACAACCAGCTCTTTTTCAGTCACATTTACTTCACAGCTTTTAAAGAGATACCTAAGAATTTGTGTTTCCCATTAGTTCATCTGCTTTTTTATAACATTTGTGTTTAACTTACCGAACATTTTCTGGTCTCAGTTTATCCAGTACCATCTCTATTAAATCAGGCCTGAATTCTTCAAGCAAATATTCAGCAGCCAACACTTCTTCTATTGGATAATACTAAAAAACAAAGGCCAGAAACATGTAGATGAATTAAACAAAACTAAGCATGGAAAAACTACAGTTCAGTAAAGAAAACAAAAGCATATACTTTTGGTCACAAAATCTGTATTACCTCTGTAATTTCAAATTAGAAGTGTGTTTATGTTTTAAAACCTTTCTCTTAAAATTAAACAAGAGGGAGTAACATTCCATCTATGCAATCACATTTGTCATGTATTAGGCAATTTTATATACTGCATATTTACCATTCTTTTCTCTTGAAATATTTTATGTCTCAATACAACCAGTCACCCACCTTCAGATAGTATTTTGAGTAAAGTAAAAAATAACGTGGTAAATGCTGACCCCTGCAGGATATTTGTAAAGATAAAAGAATACCAAGTGCTCTACTGGAGTGATTTTGGGGAAAAAAACCCCATAAGTAAGCAAAAACAAACAAAAAAAGAAATAGAACACCATAAAAAAACTCCCCACACCACTAAGTTCTTTTAGGATTCTGAAATAATACAATTCTTATTTACAGTAATTTAAAGAGAAGTATATTTCACTATGTAAAAACATAATACAGATTTAAACACTTTCAATTGTGACATTTTTTATTTAGGATCAAGCTGAAAATCTCTTCAGATACATGACAACTTAAGAAAAAAAGTTTAAATTTGTCTGAAAATGATTAGTGTGGTTGACAGGAAAACTTTCTTGATAAACACCTGGGAGGGAAAATTACCAGATGACACCGAGTACTTGCAGTCTGCCAGGCAGATGTAATTTTTTTGACCAGAATTATTACAAAATTACTTTCTGAACTTCTGAATCTGTTACACAGATTACAGGCATTTGACTGAACAAAAGCAAAAGACAGCAGCCCAAACAGGAACTCTTTAAACACCCATTTAAATTATTTCAGTTTAGTCTAATGCTTTTTAGTAAACAAAGAAAATTCTAAAACTAAAGATCGCTATTTTAGACTTTACAAATTAAAGGTCCAGGACCATTAACAGGAATTCCTGCAGAGAAATTAAAAGTTTCTCTAAATAAATGCAGACTGAATAAATTGCATTAGCTATGCAATGAACAATGGCTGCAATATATAAAAGTTACATAATTCCACTAGACAAAAAGAACCCAACAAACCCACCTAAATGTTGCATTAGTACAAAATGAGGGAACTGAATTTTGCAAGAAGTATAAAGACCAAGTAAAAGCTACATGATATTTTTTTCAATACCAACACATAATCACATCAGTAAAGTCAAGGCAAACATTTGTAATTTGCAATCTTAATACAAATATCTCTGCTTACTGCAGTATTTCAACACTGTTAACGATGGAACAGAGTGCTCATGTTTATGATAAAACACTATTTCTCTACTATTTCCCTAGAGAACATTTAGCTACAGGTAGACACAAAAAAACAAGTTACTTAAGTCTTAAGAAACACTGAAACAGATCAAATAGCAACTCCAGTTACTGTATAATGAGTTCTACTAAATATAAAGTATAAAACAGTAGAGCAAACAGAACGACCTACTGACTGCCAAAACTAAGATGTATGCAGCATGATATAGCTTCCTAAGCACAAGAAGTGCAGAGGACCTTTGCAGATGCCTGTATTTATTAAGATTATAGTCAAACACACCACTAAATAATTACTAAAAAAACCAACAACCAACCAAAAATGACCCCCCTCCACTTACATGCAACATTCCTCCAAGCTTTGATGTATAACCTCGTGGTCGCTCTTTATCTTTAAATCTGAATGCCACAGCATTTAGATCCTAGAAAACAATGTATGAATGACTGAAGAGCAGAAATTAAAGCCTATTTTAAGAATAACTATTTGCTACTTAGTTCCTCTTTATAATGAATGAAAACGAAGCACTTTTCTTGTATTCATGTTATAGCAGTTACACAGGTACCTAACACAAGTCTTCAGTTACACTCAAGTTGCATAAAACTCATAAACAATTTGGGATAGTATCACAATGTGAAATGTTATACAAGTCTTTTAAGTCCTGTTCATAGTAAGAGATCTATCCCATATCTCATATATTTAAATTTCCTGATAACTTGAAAACACATCAACTCTGATACAACCAATGCATAGTGTTGCAGCGCAGTGTTTGTCTTATGTTAACGAACTGAAGCCTTTCCCTCTTCCTTTTTTCTTCCTTTTGTTCAGCCAGCCAATAGGTAAGTTTAGAGACAGAAAGAGTGTTTCTTTATGCTGTCTCAGCCACAGAAATAGAACACATCAGTCTTAGGATACAATGGTAAGGGTGAATTAAAGAGATCTAAGACTATAAAGTCAGTGAAAAGGACAGTCCATCCTTCCAAGAAACCATGCAGAGAGTCTGATTAATTCAACAATTCAGCTGAAAATAAACTCTAAAGATTCTTTTCATACTAGTTTGCCAGCTCTCTGACTCACCCCACAGTCTCAGGAGTGCTGGGGCTGATACAAGAGGAGCAAGGGAAAGACACAGGGATGAGATAGAAGGATGGAACTACCTCTCTCAAATCTTCTATTTGCTTACTCTGTAAAGTGAAACAAATCCAGTTGGGACTTTTAGCAGAGTATAAAGAGACTTGAGACTATTTTTATAGGTGTACAGTGTCAAAGTGTAAGAAAAAAGGCTAACCCAGCTGCAGAATTTCTGCTCTTAGAAGAGACTCAACAGTTTTCATTAAAAAAAAAGCTAAGACGGAACAAGAAACTTTCACTCAAGCACATGTAGTGAACCAATGAGACTATTTATATAAATATAAATATATATATATATAAAACTGAGTTTACTTCACACTGCCACTGAGAAGTACAGTGCTATCTAATCCTAACAGGATACCTCACATTTGTGCCCACAGAACCATTCAGACTTGTAAGAAGCATGAACAGTTCAACAAAGACTGAAGTGTACAGCCAAAGTACTCCATGAAAAGCCTTTAGTTCACTTTTCAAAAACACAAGGGAACAAACAGCAGATTAAATGTCCTATTGCCTTTACAATCTCATCTATACGACATATGAAAGAAGAGAGGGGTAGAATATCAGCCATTTCCATTCCCAATTCAGCGTTAACCCTCATAGAAAATGTTTCCCCTGGTTCTCCTTCAGTGAAGACTAAGGAAGGTTATGCAAAATCCTTGGGGAAAAAGCAAGATCCTGCTTCCTTCACCTCCACTATGCTATCAGGACCCACAGCCCTGTAAGAGCATTTCATAGCTACGTTAAGACCACAAATTCTGAATGTACTTGTCATTTGTGTCATGTTGCACCTTCAAAATTATTAACCTAATTACTATGTGATTATTAAAGGCCAGTTACACAGTCAAAGACTCTGTTTCTACTTACAATAAATAAAAAAAATTGTAAAAATACAACCTCTACACATTTCAAGTCCCAGTTACTTACCTTGCACTCCTGGAAAACCCATTCTTGAGGTCCTTCTGTACGTAGTTTTTGAATATATTGAAACATGTGCAAAATAATATCTTCAACATGCACTGAAAAGAAAAAAATCACAAAGAAGAAATTCTGATGAATACAAATAAGGTTTCTATGACTTTACTTTTCATTACATTCTGATATATCAAGAAATTTAAGGGCACATCAAGATATTTAAGGAAATCTGCAATCCCACAAGCAAAGTTAAACCTGCCTTTCTCAGACATGAATTTAACATAAGTGTTTGTGTCTCCAGCTATTTCCAAGAACTGCATTTAACATGTCTTCACATGAAGATACAGATTTATAATATAATTTAACTTGGGTCTGAATAGTATGAATAAGTAGCACACAAAGGTATTAACAGTTTTTCTTTTACAGAAATTTATTTGAACTATCTAATTAACTTGATATAATCTCAAATAAGTTGATTTCTTAGGTGGCCTGTGTTAGCATAGTGGGAGGATCCAAACTAAGAAGAGTAACCAGTTAAAATAAATTGGCTTTCAAGCTATAATCACAATTAGTCTCTTTAGATACAAAAACAAACCCATAAGATCAGGAATAACATGGAATGAAAGCAAAGTCCTTCACTTACGAAGTCCTTCCTCTGTCAAGTCCACATTAATGATGAAAAACATGAAACCTCTAGCACCTTCCTTCTGGCCTCCAACAAGAGTATTTACCCATCCTGTGACATCAGAAAGAAACTTTATTACACAAGCAAACGTGTAACAATTTATGCGAATTTTGTATGCTTCAGCAATCTAACTTTTTTTAAACATATTTTGATTAATTTACATGTTCTCCTTCTCTTCCTTAATGCTTACAGCAACAGTGCAAGTTAAATATAAACACAACTCAGAACTATCTGATTTTGTACTCAGTGTGATATGACAAACTCAAGGTCATTTGATTAGTAGGTAATTTATTTCTGCTTGGAACAGAGTGATATAAAGAAAAATAGCAAAAGATACTTTGCACTCTTCCAGACATTAAGGGACCTGACAAAGTAGCCTCCAAGTCAGTGACAGAATAGAGACACAATCATTATGTCAAATATAGGGAAGATAAAGGGGACTGCAAGAAATCATCGCTTCAGTAGTCTGAGTGCTTTGTTAACTATTTATTTTTACCTGCCACAGAAATAAAAATAAAGCACCAAATCACTTACAATTCAAATTACTCAAGCAATTGAATGCTTTAACATGCAAAGGTCAATTTTAAGTGAAACTCAGCTAAACTTTTAAGAAATGTGTGATCAAATTTTTTTTTATTGTTTAACTTCAAAGCACTTACCTTTGGCTTTAAGCTCTGATAGAAGACTCCCTGGGCCTTCATGCCCAATCAGATGACCAAGGTAATGGCCAGGGTTCGATTTATAGTACTTCTGAAGGTCTGGTATAGGAAATGTGACATAAAGATTTCTAATATCCTTAATGGGTACCACCTTGTAAAGTTGCTGAGGGGGGAAAACAAAACAAGGAGACCCATAAACAAAGGGAAATTCATTAATTTTATTCCTCTCCAGAGCACTAGTGAGTTCCCTTCACACACATACACGTATTACAAACATACCTCCGAAATCCCAAGAGTAAAGATATCTAAAACTTAGGGCAACGTGTAGCCATTCATAAGGCCAACAAAAAGAAAGCTAATTATCCCTCAGTTGCTGACAGCTGCAACCAAATGTACAACCTTTGCTATACACTATTCAGAACTACACTCAGCATGGAAAAGTGGGTGGAAAATCAATAAACAAACATGGAACTTGACAGGGACACTGATAAAAGAGTAGCGAAGTGCATAATGTTTACTGAAATATTAAAAAATATCATTTAAGGTATACACTCCTATGGAAGATGTATTTCTATACATACCCGGAGATGCTCTTCTTGGAAAGGATGTTCAGGAAACTCTGGTATAGGGACATTTTTATTCTCTACTTCTGAAAATAATTTTACCACTAAGCAAGTCAGCTCATCCAGAGATTCTAGAATAAAGAAACATTAGAAAAAAAAAACAGGCCTTATGTGAAGACTCTGGCAAACTTGGGGTTTGAATATTTTTGGGGAGAGACACAGAAAAGTAGTTTTAATAGTGTTATGATAGTTAATTTCAGAAAGGAAATCTATATTCATACTTAAATTCTGAACATGCTAGAAGCACCATGCTTATTAAAGGAAAGCCTCAATCATTATTAAAATAAATCCTGCAACCAAAAATAAATTTTTACCTATAAATCTGAGCTGGAACCAAAGGAAAGATACACCAGCTACTGAACATTTACAAAAACAAACATTCCACAAAAAGCTTAAGGGACATGGAATTACAGCTGCAAATTTTCTAGACTGAAAACATCTTTGCCAAAACTTGAATTTTCTTAAGCCTCAGCTCACGTCTAGTAGTACTTTAGGTACGCTGAGAGTCAGATCATCTGTCCTTAAGCATCCATAACACACACACATCTGTGACCTGTTTAAGCACTTCTGCCTTTACATCCACTCTAGTTTCAGTCTGTGACTGTAGTACTCTGCAAAAATGAGCAGCAGACCTTCTGCAGAAAGAATGTGATGTTGTGCATTAATTCACCTAAACTGACCTATACCATTTCTGTTGAAATGCTGCCTTCCAAATTGCTATGTGCCTCAAGAAATGCATTTTGGAGCACTTCTCAAAGTGTGAATAAGATAAAAAAGACTCATCTGTCAATTTTTTAGCGCACGCCTTTCAAGGGTAGGCGTTGGAAGAAAAAAAACCTGCATTTCTTGGATGTCTCAAAGCAATGGATCTCAAAGGATGTCTCAACCTTAATCCTTGACAGATTTCAAAAGCAGTCACCTGGTTATCAAAACAATCCCAATTAGATTGAGGAAGTAGAATCTTTCCTACCCAACATACATGTGCTCCTACACTAAGAAAACTGTCCAGGGCAAAAAACCAACAAAACAATGCAAACAAAGATGGTTCACTGTATATGAAAATTTTGTGAACTGCACATAATTCTATTGCAAACCACTATCTTTTATTCACATCACCAAAATACACATTCATTTAAGCTTTACAACTACAGTGATGGTTTTCTTTAGTATAGATTTCCAGTTGCCAGGGTGATTCTTACTGAAAGCTTCCATTTCATTCACTCAGTGAATTTTGCTTTTGATTAGAAAAAAAATTAATTTTATTCCACTCATACCCATCATCCTAGCATTACTGTAAAACACCACATAAGTACCAGTCTGTCAGCATATTTCAAAAAATCAAACCGTTTTCAACACACTGTTATTAAGCTTTTAACAAATATATGTAAAATATCATCTTGTGTGGAATGTTTTAATCAGTTGGAACCTTCATTTTCTTCAGATATACATGTTAAGACTTACTCAACTAACAGAACAAAACTCACCTCTTCCTAAGACACAAATAGCCATTAAATTTGATGAGTAATAAGTAGAATGGAACTTCAATAGCTCTTGCCTTACATCTATTCCTTCTTTGGTTGGTCTAGTTTCCAGAGTGAGTTTGTTCCCTGTAGCATAAAAATAGTTAACAATATTTGACATCTAGGAACTTACAGATAGAAAATAAATATCTTAATTAATTCATCTGCTTTCCTTGGGATGGATATCAATTTTAAACATAATTTCTATGTCTAATAAGTAAACTGGATCTCCCCATGAAAACATTTCACTTGTGTCAGCTAGATAACCTTCTTAAAATGGGGAAAACTATTGAATATCTTCAGTAGCAGAGATCAACATATATAGATCAAGCACTTGCCTACTAATTAGTATTTCCTGAAACTTTTTTTTTTACATTTATCCATTTGCAGAATGCAGTTATTAGCTTCACTTCTACAGGCAGCTTTCCTTTCCTGGTCAACACAGCAATATGTGTTCCCATAGCAGGTGGCTACCAGACCCATAACTATGCCCTCCATCAGCAGGTGCAAAAATATTCCTGTCTTTCTGGAGACAGAGAAAGAAACTCGTCCCTTAAAGTCCATTATCTGCTCTCCCTGTCATCCTAACTGTCCCCAGTATTTGTGTCAACTATTCACAATACAAACTGACCCAGCCACGAAACACATTGATGTTCCATGATTAAACACTGCAGCCCTATTACTTTGACAGTTTCGAAAACAAATTCATGTCAAAAATAACTTCTTGGAAAAAAAACAAAACAAAACAAAAAAACACCCAACATTTAAACTTCTACCAAAGCATCAAACATTTGTGGGTTTGACCATAACTGTGGTATCTCACTTCAATGCTTTTTACATGGAGGATTTGAGGTGTTCATTTTAAATTGTTACTAAGCATTCTGTGAATAATTAAGCCTGAACAAAATAATACAGCCATAAGATTGGGTTATGTGCAAGATCATTTTATCTATCCATCTCCTACTGCTGTGCTCTATGGTTAAGATGTTGTTTCTATACTCCTATTCAGTAATTTTCACTTTACTTTGCTGATCTTTCTTATTTGACCTTGTCACTGTCACCTAGTCTAAATTCAATACTAGTTAACAAAAAGGGCATGTGGCTAACAACAACTGAAACGTAATTTATTCACTTTGTTACGTACAAAGACCAAAGTACCAAATTATGACAAATCCAGTAATTGGAAAACATCATTCACTGCTGTAATTATCAGAATCATAAAGGTTGCTTCTTCGCTACACTCCAAGTCTTGGATCTCTCTGTTTCCTATGCTTTTGTCTAGCTCTGTTTGGTCTATGATGTGGAAAATGTGATAAAGCACCATAATAAATATGTACGAAGAGGAAAAAAAGGGAATTGTTTCAGCCTGTCTTTAGCAATTTTATATAAACAATAATACTATGTATGTTACACAGAACTCCAGTGAAAGACAATTATACTCTGACAAACCTGTTCCAAATTTACTGAAGGGATGATTGGGGTTTCCAGTAGCCTTCTCCAGTTGAAACAACCTCCAGGCATCATTCATAAGATTCTTCTCGTGCTCAGAATCAACAGCGTTCACTTCCCTGTCTTTGCAGCTTTCATCAAACAGAGGGCACAAGAAAAACTGGGCAAACCTAAAGAGAAAACCTTTAATTCAATCAAGAGTACTGTACATAAATGGTAACAGAAAAGTAACAAGCTTGGTACCTTTTGGAAATGAATATATTCTTTTTTAATGCAGAACTTATAAACTCTATAACAGTTTTGACACTGATTCAGTATCTTTATTTCTCAATTTCTCAATTATGTATAAAGGCAGACAACATATTCATGATATAAGGTACTAAAAGAGTAAGGACCTGCATCACAGTTCTCACTGAAAATTTCTACTGTTTTGAGGTTTAGCTGCAGGAGGCTCTTAATCTCACAAATCAAGTAAGTCTTGTCAGACATCCAGGGAGAAGCCAAAGGGAAAACTCATTCTTTACCTCACTGACTACACACTTTTCCATTTCTGTCCCATCCCCAAAACAGAGCAATTTCAACACATTCCCTTTACTAAAAGCATCCTAATATATTTCTAGACTCCACCCTGCGTTTGCTATCAATGCGTAAATTCATGATCATATTCTGTGACCCACATTTCCAAAAATACTCAGTGTAAACACGATATTTAAATTTCAAAAATTCTTCCTCAGTGAAGAACTTTCCTATTAAAAAAAAATCTTACCGAGACTTTTAAACTGAGAAATATCTGGTTATCAGTTTTAACAAAAGATAGTGCTCTCAGTCCTTTTTTTAAATAAACTTTTACGCTACTTCAAGTAGAACCTATAGAACAAAAATGTAAATGTTAAAAAACGTGTTTACCTGTCTAGTGCACCTTCTAGATGTTCGTGTGACACGTCAAAGTAATAATTGGTATGTTCCCCACTCGTGAAAGCATTGGAGCTCCCGGCATGCTCGCTTAGAAATTGGCTATACTCGTTCTCTTTTGGGTATTTCTTGGTTCCCAGGAACAACATATGCTCACAAAAATGACTAAGCCCAGCAATGTTGGGGGGATCAGACAAGGATCCTGCAGAAGGAAAAACTTCACGTAACCATTCACAAAAAATTAATACTAAAGCATTAAGCCTTTTAAGATGTTCTATATTACAGTACTTTGCTTCATGGAATTATGCATCAATTCTGTAGCTGCAAGCAGACACTCATGCAACTGTAGTCAACTAAATCTTTAAAAAAATTAAAAAATTAGAATTAGTAATACCCAAATAGTGTATCAAACTGCCTCTTCAAATCAGCTTGCACTTCCTTATACAGAAATTTTTCAATTGAAGTCCATGACTCATAATCTGTAAAGACCTGGCAGATCACACTGTTCTGAATTCTATACCTTGACTGTACTGTGTTAAAAGGCAGCAACTGCCAACCATAATTAAGGAGGTATTTATCCTGTGGTTCACAGGACAAGCGATAACCTGTAATTTGCCTGAACACAAGCACTTATGGATGACCAGCTAGTAGGTGTGAAGGAAACCTGATTAAAAGACAATAATGATTTGGAAGAACGGAAGGCAAAACCACGGAAGCTGAAGTCTGGCAGTCCTGCTTTGGAGTGTGCAGTGATGTGCAACAGGAGACTAGAGATGAAGGCAACAGATACATCTCCTCCCTTACACATGAAGGAACTGAATGCTGCAGATGGCTATTACTGCCATATACCTAAAACACATTCAAGATCCTCTGAACTAGATAATGATTTGGGACAGCCATCTCCATAATAAAAAAGGTCAGAAGTTTTCTAAGCTACTCTGTTTCTTCTGCCTTAACAACAGCAGCAAGAGCTCCCAACTACAAACTTGTAAGAGTTTGTAGTTATGTGTGGGTGCATCATACTTTCCAAGCAAGTGAAAAGCTACACAAGCTTGAGAAATACCTCAGATATAAGAAAAGTCTTCCTTTATTCTAAAGAGTCAAAGTAACTGCCTTCCAATCTATTTCCAGTATTTCTGTTTGCACACTTAAGCATCGTTGGAGTTGAGTTAGGGAAGGCCTCTCCAACTTCTCCAGCTCTACATCATTTTCTCACCTCTACACATCAACAACTTAACATAATAAAAAAAAAGTCTGACATGACAGATGGAGCTGTCTGAAATAATTGCACTCGCACCCACCCCTTTCCTGCTTACAAAAGATCTTTCATAACACGAAACTTAATGGTTAAAAGCAGTCTTTCTACTGGCTGAGCTACACTTGAGTAAACACAGAGTACAGTAAGAGCATTTAGTTAGCTCTAATAATTTTCAACCTGATGTGTCAAAGAATTAAACAAACTCTAAATTAAATAAAAGGCTAAGCTGCCAACTGCATACCACTCCTGTCAGTTTATTTGCAATCAAGATACCAAAACCTTATGCATTTTTATTAATGACATAACGAACACAGCATGAATTAAATACCTATGTGCACATCAAGCGCTGCTGAAGACTTATCTGTGGTGGGGTCGCTAATGAGAAGAGCTTTAATGCCATTTGCCAGTTCCAGTCCACGATATTCTCGTTTATCCTCAGGTGATTTGATAATTTCATTTGTTATTCTCTTAATAGCTGGATTGTTCATTTTGTTGTTTGTCTCCTTCTGAAACCTTGAGGAAAACAGAAGAAATTTCACTTATTATTTTTACTTAAGCCTTGCTAATATTTTAATATTATGTTAGACAATACTGGGCAATACTGACAGCAAGTTCTATTCTGCAAAAACCTCACCTAATTTGCCTAAAGGTATACTTCAGATCCTGAAAAATATTGCTGTTAAAACAAAAAAAAACCCTGAAGACCAAGAAACATGGATAAAAACATAAATCACATAACTGAATGCTTCAAGTATCATACTAATGATAATTTTAACAACCTCAAACTTAAAACATGTAATTCCCTTATTTGATTATGATAAAATTAAATTAAATGAAGCACACACTGCTATCTCAAGTATACTTTCAAAACTTCAGGAAAGTATTTCATGTGTCTGAATTGGTGGTTATGTTATGAATGTTGTAACTGTGATTGTTAGATAAACAAAATTTTACTGTATTTGTACGCTCAAGCAAGAAATGGTAATAACGTTTGCAACGTTGCCACAAAAATACAAACAGACTGCAGAACTGTCATGATAAACAGGAATAGACTGTCTCACACATTTCAACTTGAACTATTAGTTTAACAGATGCTACAGACGCTTCTTTAATGGCACAATTTTGAAATGCTAAGAAACTAAGTGTGATTCTGGAATCATAGAATGTGGTTATACATTTTTTTAAATGCCAAGTGAAGAGACATTTAGACTTGAATATTTGTGGAGGCAGAGTATAACCCCTTGACTGTGTGTTAAAAATAAATTCAAAAACAACACATAAATAACAAACAGCAACACAAAACCAAAATAAAAACATCCAAACAAACCACAAACACACACAAAAAGAGCACAAATCCCAGATGTGGGAAATCAGAAAGCCATGCTCTGAGATCATCACATGGTGGATTCCTACATGTAACAGCCACTGAATTCAAACTATTTTACAGGAAAGGTTTTAGAACAGGGTCTGCTATATAGTACCAACAAAACTTAATCTTTTCCTGTGGTGAAACACTGCCTGCCATATTGCTGAGTGATTTACTACATGGGTTCATTAGTTGTCACTGAATTTATTTCACTTGAAAAACCAGCTCCAAGTTCAACTCCCCACCATAATACAGGCATGAGAAACTTTGTTCGTATCCCATAGAAAGCAAGGAGTTTTACTTTTCTATTTTCAGGCTGTATGATTCAAGGAACTGGAACCTCCTCCAAGTTTTAAGACCGTGTACAAGCTCTAGGACCACATGGGATGTACAATGTGAAGGACTGCAAAGTTCGCAACATACGGATTGTTTCAAGGTACTCACTCATGACATTTTAATCAACTCCCTAGCTATCAAACCAACTGCAAACTCAGTGCTACAGATACAGGAAAAAAACCTTGAAAATCTGATTATATATTTTACATTTAAAATTACATATGAAAGGGAGTCAGCTAATAAAATCTCCTTCCTAAAATACTGTTATCATTCTCAAAATGAGAAGCAGTTCTGAGAGCTACTGTCCCTCTGGATCATCTCCTTCACATTTATTCATATCATTCTATGGTATAAAAACCAACAGCCAATTTGAAGCCAGCAGATGCAGTGCCATCAGTGTTGGTGTCAGATATTACAATGAGGTTAATATATTACTAACAGCATTTTTAGGATAGAAAGTTTGTGAACATAATGTCTGTGGCAGAATCAGAAAAAAACAGCATTTCTCAAACAGAAAATCAAGCTTTTACCTGTAACAGAGTGAAAGTTTAAGACTGGATTTATGTTTGTGGAAGGATAGATATAGAGAAATATATATAGAGAGAGATATATCCATATACGTAAACTGGGGAAGATATTATTGTAAAAAAAAAACCAAAACAGTAAAGTAAGCATTAGATCTCTGAACACTTTTGAAAGAAGTAAAAATATTACTTTGGAACTTTTAAATCCTCTTTAGTTACAATACATCCCTACATGAAAAAAAAAAAAAAAAACAAACCAAAATACAAACAGGAATTATAATCCAAAAAGAAAATAAAAGCACTCAGCTTAGAAAGCTTCAATGAATAATAACAATCTGAATGTCTCTTATCAAAATCCATAAATAATATGAAGTAACTTTTTACAGTTCAATATAAGTGCAGTTCAATTCATTTTAGAATGAAATTGTTCCACTATTATAACATGGTTCTCTCACTGTGAATTACTTTTTTTAAAAAAAGTGAAGCCAAATGTAATCACTAAACAATAACTGAAATGCTGAATTCAAATTTATATGTCTACACTCTCATTTAAACCTGTCATTTATCCACTAGTTTTACCCTGTACTCAGGCTAATTCTGCTCGGAACATCTATGGGTTTCCTTCCTCCAAAAAAATGCAGATACCACTGAAATCCAAAGATTACTCCAAGTACTGCACATCTCTGTCTGCATCAACAGCACTGATACAAGCTATGCTAACAATCAAAAAATGCCTATATGTTCAAACTTTAGAGTATTAAGTAGAAAAACTCTACTCAACTTTAGATACTACGTAAAATTTATGAAGTGAGGATACTGCTTTTCATACATGAAAATCAGTAACTAAACTGTTCCTAATTGTTTTTCACTTGCACACAAGCAATTTGCACCCAAGTTGGACTGAAAATAAAAGCATGTAGGAGAATAAGGAAGTTTCTGAATCTCCTGATTTCACGACTGCTAAGGAAGACTTATCTTGGTTTTCAGCTACAATATTCTGGCTCATTAAGATACTAGTTGTTTATCATAAGACACATATACACTATTAGCTGCTCAAGTTGTGGGATTTCTTTAAACATTATACAATTTCCTTGTCATCTGATATCTCCTTGTTAATTCTACACCGTATCATTAAGTCACAGAACTTTACTGTTTGTTCAGATGACTCATCTTTCCAATGTGATTCATCAAATTACGCAGCTTCTATGAAATCTTATGAGATTTCAATTGATGTCTCGCGAAGCTGTACACCTCCACTTCATTTTATTATCATTCCCTACTTCTGCCTCCTTCATAGGCTACCTCTAGCTTGGTAGTCAAATTTCAGTGAAGGAAAAAGCTACAATCTTCAGAAGGACAAAAGCAGTAATTAAGCCTTCAAACCAAACTTGCATGTCCAGCTTCATTGTTATGTCAAGGGGCACTGTGAACACAACATTCTCTAACTTCAAATGGGTTTGCATGATTAACCTACAATTATTTTGCTGCAAACTGAATTAATAGTACCAGACAACTTGTATGAAAACAAGAGCAGATCAACTATGCCATACTCCTGAAAGGTAATATGTCAGAAGAACAAGATCAACACCTTCCTGCTCAAGTACTCTTCTTCCTGGTGCTATGTTACTACAATATAAAAGTGAGGAAAGTTCACTTTGGAGAGTTTTTGTACCATTTCTTTTTCTTAAGGAGTAAACTGTAAGACCTAATATTAAACGTTCTCTCATACGACTGCTCTCCTGTGCAGCTTTTAAGTTCTCTACAAATCACTGTTTGACATCAGAACTGCTTTTAACCATAGGCAAAAAAAAAAAAAAAAAAAAAAAAAAAAAAAAAAAAAAAAAAAAAAAAAAAAAAAAAAAAAAAAAAAAAAAAAAAAAAAAAAAAAAAAAAAAAAAAAAAAAAAAAAAAAAAAAAAAAAAAAAAAAAAAGATAAATCCACACAGAATTCTGTATTTCTTATTATTTTTCAGAAATAGCTTAATTTCTAAGGTCGTGTTCAGACACTGCCCTGAAGTACATGTGCTCTGCCGTCATTACAATGAGCACTGGATGCTGCAAAGCAATTCATCCATAAAGGAGATGCCATGTTTATTGCAGAGCTAATATCCTAACAAAAACATTTAAATGTTTAAATGAAAATATTTAAAAGAAATATTGTCATACTACTTTCACAAAACAGAAGCAACAGAGAAAGATCCAAATAAGTAAAGACAGCAGGAACAAATACAAAGCTTTACTGTGACACTGGAAATTCTTCCAATGGCTCCAAAATTACACTTGGCAAGATGACCAATGTAGAGAGAAGGAAAAGAAGAATGGGTATGTCTGAACTCAGAGCAGTGTCTCTATTCAATTAATAGGAAATATTCTTCCTCCTCCTCAAAATTATTTCACTTGTACAAGAAAAGTATCAGTTAAAACCAATGCTGAATTTTCAATTATAGCACTTTGAAGTGAAATTATATTCTGTTCTTTGAGGTTCCATTTTTGTAATCATTTCCAGGAAGGCAGTCCCTTGGAACCAGCAAGGCTCTCTGGGGATGCCAGGTTTCACCTGCAAACAGAGCATTACAGAGTGGGATTAAGTGATATATGATTCTACCTCACTATTTTAATCTCTCAAAGTTATTTTAGCAAACTTACTTTAATTAAAAATTAGCCACTGTAATCAAATCTAAGTTCAGTGTTTGAACAATTAAAAGATCATATTTGAAAACCAATTAACAGAAACTCCTGAGGGTTGCTTCAATGCAAGAATATGACTAGCTAATAAAAATATGACCCCCAAAGCAAAATCTCCAAAGCCCTTTTCAAGACTTTTTTGACATGACAGTCTGCACACACTGAAGTCAAATGCTGGTAGACAGCTCTGAGCCTGATGAACGACAACAGTTACCATCTCAGCAGATCTTGGTGTTTTCTTTCCATTTATATCAGTTGCCTTAAAATTTGGATTAACTTTAAGTTTTTATGCAACTCAATTGCTCACCATTTACGAGAGTGAAGTGAAACCTTTGTTGAGTCAGAGCCTCTCTCTCCCTTCTGTCCTGCAAGGGAGTTACCATTGGTAACATGTCCCTTGTGTTATTTACTAATCCATCTTGGTTACACATGAAGATTTCTCCAGCTGCCAATGCACGGAGTGAAAAAAGTGCTGTGTGCTTTGGCAGGAGGCCTGGTGCTGCAGAAGCACCAGCCAGAGTTTTCTCACCTCTCTTACAAAGATGAACTGAGCACTCTGGAGGAGTCCAGGAACTTCTTCAGTTGCTCATGGCTTTGCAACAACCAAGTAAATCTGCATTCTTGCACAGGCCTTCACTCCTCCTCATCTTGGTCTCTTGCACCTACTTCTGCTCCTGATAGCAGCAAAATCTGATGGCACTGTGATATCCTTGTGCGTGTAACAGTCATGTTACCAGTAAGACAATCAATAATCTACCTACTCTCTTAACTTCTCCATTCACTCGTATGTTGTAATTAAAAAAAATATTTTTTAAACTAAACCATAGGCAGTAAAGTTTTTTTCCTAAACTCAGATAAATGTTTTGAGTTGTTACCAAGAATGTAGTAAAAAAATGAAGGAGAGAAAGGGTAATCTCAAAAAATCTCAAAACAAGAAAACCCAACCAAAACCAACAAACCAAAACACAACAAAAAAAAAACCAACAAAAACAACCACCAAAAAACCAAAACCAAATCAAGAAATCAGATCAATTCAGGTGAACATTACCAGAAAGGACTCTTCAGGAAACTCTCCATAACTCCTTCAGGTCACAAGTTCATCAGCAGACAAACCTAGCAATCCTTCTTTCACACATTTAGAGATTAAAATGCTTCACATTATTCAACATCCATGAAGCATCAATCTTCTGTGAATTTATTTGTCATGAAGCAAGAGAATGTTTGAGATCCCAACACATTCCTGATACTGATCAAAATAATTCTGACTGCATACACAGGCAGACAGACTGCATAAGTAGATAAACTGCTTAAAATGTTAACATGTTTTATCACTTTTAAACTCATCAGGAATTCAGCATACTACTTCATACACAAAGGCTCCAACTACAAAGACCCACAATGATTTAATCAGTGCTACCAAGTTATTAAGAGCAACTAATCATGCCAAATCAGGCAAGTTTGAAGATGATGAATATTTATAAGGTTTTGTTATGTAGTTTATTTTGAAGAAATTCTAAACTCACGCTACAATTAAAGCATTTTCAGAACCTCAGTCTGCAGCTTTTTGCCAAGTCTATAATTGAGTCAGAAAATTCCCTCCTAATGATGGTGGTCAGGGCAGACACTTGCCTTGCTCTTGTTCCCAAAAGAATCCAGCTTCTACAACTTCTAGATCACAGCAGTAAAACTTGGTCTGCCACAGGCTTCACCGCCAACATGACAGCAGAAACACTGCTGTGCAACACTGGTGTACAGGAATTACCAGTAGCATTAATGAGACAATACCACGTGTGAACTTGGCAAAAACAAAGGCCCTGGTGGCTTCACATGTAAGATCAGGCAATTGGCCTGAGAAGTAAAATGCTGTGTGCTTTCAACAGTCTTGTGTTAGTCAAATGAGATTGGATATACAATAAAGACACTACAAAGCTGAATTATTGCCCTAAATCTATGTTCCTTAACTTGACCACTCCAGTTCCCAAAGCACTGGGTAAACAAGTCAAACAAAAAGGCAGGATTTTATACAGTTTGATTTTACACACAGCAATAAAGGACAACAAGTTTTTTTAAAATCTCTACATCACTTAAGCTTACTTCTTCTATCTCCTCGAAAATTGCTCCAAACAATCTGTCCAAACACAACCTCCAAGGTAAACAAGCTTTAACCACGTTCACCAGAAACAAAATAACTAAAATTAGCCTTTTTCTAGCAATTCTTTGCTTCGATTTTTTAAGAGACTGCTGAAAACTAGGGAAATTCCAAAAGGGTCTGGAAGCCTTTGATCATTTGAAAGATTGAGGAATTTTAAAGTTACGTAAAATCATCTGGTTTAAATTTTTAGATGTCATCATAATATAGGATCTTCAGAATTTTCACAAATGCGGTTTTTATTATTATTTTCATCAGTCTCAAACTGAGTGTTAAGAACAAGACTGATCAGACTAGTTTCTGTGCTACATGACCAGCTGCTTGAAAACCTATTTTACATATTTGCTTCAGAAATGTACTCATTAATTCAGTTAATTGTTTTATGCCTTGTATACTTGCAAACCAGTGGGTTCTCAGTCTCTTCCTCCCTCCCTAACATATTTCCTTCATAACCCTACAGTTGCAGTGCTTGGTCCACAATCCCAGTACCCAGTGGTGGTGTCTGGTGCGTGGCCCTGCACACACAGCGGAAAACAAACTGGGTGCTTTAGGAGAGACCTCTGTGCTTTATTCTAACAGTATCTTGATGTGTTATTTCCTAAATTTTAACTACAAGTAGCACATCAGATTGCCCAAAACTCTTTGTAAAGCCAACTCATTTAATACTTTATGCAACCATCTGTCTTATACCCTCAGAAAGAAAAACTTGTGAGGTCTGACTTAAAAAAAAAAAAACAAAATGAGACTGAAACTTGTGCAAAACACCAAGAAATACATAGAAAGATGAGAGAACTGGCAAGAAAATCTGATCAACAACAACAGAGAGCACTTCAGAATTCTGAGTCATTAAAAGCACTGTAATCCCACATTAAAAGCAATTGCTTATCTGACACTAGAGCTCTGCCATAACCAACAAACCCGTAATGAGCAGTTTACAGGAGTCAGGGGTGTGTTTCAACAAAGGAAGCCCTGGCTGTTCACCTATTTGGTGGTTTAGTTTTTACAGTTTTGGACAATTCAATTCTAGTTCTACTGCTAACCCTGTAAGCAAACTCTCGACTCTACAGCATTTTTTTCCATCTCAATTCTTCAGGTAACTTCAAGCTGCAACTCATTCTAAAAAGAAGTTGCAGAAGGTCAGTTCTTAATAGAAAGCAACTTTCAAACAAGCTCCATCAAAAATAACCTTATTATATACTCACGGTGCTATCTCATAAGCATATTTTATCAACTTATGGACATCACAGAAACTGAAAACAAAGATGTGCATTGACAGACCCTGCACATGCAAACACATAACCAGAGGCAAAACCAACTAAAGCAACTTCTCTAGATTTTTATTACAAACTTTCTGATTTCTATCTTGTTAAAAGATCAGAATACCAATAAAAGCATCTAATACAATAGAATTAATATATAAAAAATATCAAGCTGGTATGCAATCTCTCAAATGGTCTGACAGTATTTTCAGTAAATTACTTCTACAATAACCTACAATAAACCCCAGCTAGGGGCCTAATACCTTCCAGTTCAATGAAACACTGGAAATATTAAACAACGTGTCCCTTCTCCCTTTCTTCTGGACCCAGCAGGGTAGGGGAATCCTTCTGTATTCACGTGCAAAGTAAGTTATATGCTTGACAGTTTGATCAATTCCCAAAGGTACCATTTCATCCAAGGGATTAACACACAGCTTTACACTGACTGAAGACAGAAAGGAGAAAGGGAGCAAAAAAGCACGCAAACATGGATACATGAATCCTTCTAGGGACTTTCCAACTAGAACAGATCATTTCGATGCCATACATAAGATAAAAAGGAGGTAAGAAGTCCTGTGAAATTATCTTGCTGCTTGACATGCAGATGAAGGTTAAAAATTTTATGAAAAGTTAAAGCTGAAAAAAGGTGAAAGCAAAAACAAAATACAGAAACAGAGCACGTAATCGAAAAAATAATACTTAATTTTCACATCTTAAAAAAATCATCACATGAAAGTACTATGCCTGCTCTCTTTTCATTATCATTTATGTAAATCCTAATTCACAATTAAAATTAAACAGATGATTAAATCATGCTGGTAGGCAGTATGAAAACATAACAGGCCTATTCACATATATAAAGTTAAGTCCAAATACTGCATATATTCACATGCTGAAAGAGAAGTAATCTAGAAGGAAAAACTAGAGCCTGAGAAAAGCATTGGCTCCGAATATGCGCTGGGGATTACCTTTACAATTCTGAAGCATAAATAGCAATAATGAACAATAACGGTGCATCCGAATTTTGACACGCAAGCACCGACAGTATGAGTCATCACAACTCACTTTTTTCCCCGGAAAGATGCTACTTTTGACGTCTCTCGTGCAGTGTTAAAAATAGATTTGGCTACTAAGGTACAGTATTAATGAAAGAAAGAAAACAACTTAGCCTTTGTCCCTTATTCAGCTCCCTTCCCGGAAAAACTTTGCCGAGTTGTTACGCAGTTTAATTTGCCCCTAAAAGTGAGCCATGCCAAGCCTCCCGCCCGCTCCTCCCTCGATCGAGGTTTCTTCTCTCTCTCCACCGGAGCTGGTAACACTGGTAACACACACACACACACAAAAACAAGCCCCGCACAATGCCAGTGCCAGACAGCTCGTCACAAGCTGAAGAGGCCGCTCCGAGCAACTTTGGGTGACTGATAGCAGTTTCTTCTTACAGAACTTACTTTCTCCCCCCTCCCTCCCCCCCCAATTAAGGCTTAGGAAGTCATGGCAAGTACCGTAAAAATTCATGGGTTTTTTTCCAAGGGGGAAAAGGAAAAATAAAGTAAGCCCCCGGGCAAGGAAAGCCGCACGGCTGATGACCAACCTTGCTTTGTCAAGGGAGGTGCAGCTGCAAACACCGGAGCACGTCAGCCCGGGCGGCAGCGCAGGGCAGAGGGCAGGACACGGCAGGACACAGGGCAGGACTCCGGCCTCCCCGGCACACCCGGCCCCGCCGCCCCTAGCTCGGGTGCCCGCGAAGGCTCCGCCGCCAGCCCCGCTTCGCGGCCCGAGCCCCCCCGACTCCCCGCCCGCCACACAAGGTGCCCCCGCCCCGCCGCCGCCTCTTACACAACCCCGCGGGGGCCCTGCGGCCTCCTGGCCCCGGGTCACACGGCCCCGCGTCCCGCGGCCCTGCCCCGGCCCCGCCGCACTCGCACCGTACCCAAAAGAGCTGCGCCGCCGGCCCGGAGGGGAGAAGCGCGGGGCTGGGACGGCCCAGGGGCGCGCCCAGCCCGGCAGAGCCCGGCTCAGCACAGGGCACAGCCGCTGCCGCATAGCCCTGGCGGCCCCGCCGCCAGCACCGGCCTTGCCCGCCGCCCGGCCCGGCTCCGCTCGCTCAGCACGCGCCGCTCCCCGGCGCCATGTTCTCCGCCCGCCTCCCCCGCCGCCCGGCCAATCCCTCCCGGCGCCCGCGGGGTCCCGTCCGCCCTCCGCGCCCGGGCCTGGCGGGACCCGTACCTGGGAGTACCTGGGAGTGTCGGAGCTGCCTCTGCCGCCGGGAGGGCCGGGGCTGCGGCTGGGGAGGGGGCCGGGGGCCTCTGGGAGGAGGCGGAGGCGGCGGAGGGGGTGGGTGGCTGGGCGGGGAGCCGGGGCGACACTCGGCGCGGCGGGGGGGCGCGCCCGGCGGAGGCGGACGGGGCTGCGGCGGGAAGGGTAGCGGGCTGACCCGGGCTGCGCCCGCCGAGGGAGCGGCCCGCCCGCGTCCGCGCTCCGCGTCCCTGCCGGCGAAAGCCAAGACAAAAGGTAATTAGGCGCCTCGTAATTTGAGCACAATGGGTGCAGCGCCGTCCTGAGCGGCAGAGATTTCGGGTGTCAAAATCCTTCCTCCCCCGGGCACAGTGCACCCTGCGGCAGCGCTCTCTCCTCGGGAGCTCCGCTGGAGCTCGCTGGCTGCCCTCACCTGCAGCCCAGCTCTGCGGCCCCTCCGCGCCGGGCACTGCATTCGCCTCGCAGGCTGGGTGTAGAGCTGTAAATGCTGGGTGAGACTGGTTGCCATATATTTGATTCTGTGGGGAGATTTTTTTTTTTCTTGGTAGATTTCCGTGTAGGAAAGTCGTGCATGGGGCTGGTTGCTTTAATTCCTTTGTAGGAAAGAAAAAAAAACAAACCCACAACTCAAACACAAAACCAACACAAAACAAACAAACAACAAGCCAACAAAAAAAAGAAAATCCCCACCAAAACCAAACCCCCAAAAAACTCGCCCCCCCCCAAACGCCACTGTTTGAAGTTCTGGTAACGTGCTTTCTTCAGGTGTATCTATTTTACTGTGTCTTATTTTTCAAAGCTAAGGGGAAAAAGAAAAAAAGACAAAAACATGCACAACATTTAATGCCTGATTTTAGCTTCCCTAGTGCCTCCCTTTTATAAAAGGTAGTATCTTACAGAAGAAAATTCCCAGAACCCTCCTGTCATAAAAAGGTAGAAAGATGGGCCAGACGAGTTACCTAAGGTTATTTCTGCACCCAAAGATGGAATTGAAGATGTAGCAGAAGTAGCTTTAAACTGCTTTGGTTTAAAGTAGCTTTTTTTTTTACAGTCAACTTTGGTTAAATTTGCTGTTAAGAAGTGGCCACATACTACTTCATATGGTCAACGGAGAATCAACAAAATCAGTCAGGGAATGATGGTTTCCAGTGAGGTCTGTGCTGCTATAGAGACGCTCTTACCCGTACCTGAGCTACCCAGTTAAAACATTTGTGTCTGCATCAAGTACACCCACACTTCTGGCCTCTGTTTAGACACGGAGCTATCTCTCAAGTTAACTCATTCTGGTTGGAGCAAGGCATTTGGTAGTTTTCACCTAAATCAACTGCTTGGATTTAGAACTGTGTGGGTGCCTAATTTTAACACAGTATGTTAACTACTGCAAAAATGTCCTCATGGGATTCTAGTTGGAGGCAGTCTGGGTTTTTCCCAGTTCCTAGTGTATATAAGTGAGGATCAAGCCGGACAAAAAGAGGACAGGATAAATGGTGAGCTCTTAATTCTGACTTCCGCCCTATTGCGGTTGCTGGTGCATCAGAAAGGCTCATCCCTTGGTGTCTGACAGAAGGCACGCTGCCGGGTGAGTGCCTCTTCGTGATCTGTCTCCTCCCTTTCTGAAGCAACTAGGGGATTAAGAGGTTGTGAATTGGAGCATTCTGTTAAATTGGATGTATGGTAGAAATGCTTCTGCCTTTATTGTTAATACATGCTATAGTCACGTTGTATCATTTGCCATGTACGGTGAAAACTATAGAAGTAAATAGTTTCAGGCAATTTATTCTTTTCTTAGGGTCCTGATAGAGAGTTTGCTAACCTAATGTAGCCAAGTGTATATGTTTAGCTAATGCTGGCCTGGTGTATATTTAGCTGCTCTGATAAATCTTGCCTTTTCCTGTAAGTCTTGCCTAGTATCCATAGGGGCAATCCCGGGAAAGCAACATAGACTGCACCTGCAAAACTGTGGTGGTCTACTAATAGCTGGATCTAAAACAAGTGTGTCTGTAGTTGTGATGAAAGATCACACCTCCTTATGCACCTATCATAAGTATTGCATCAGAGGTCTGCAGTGGAGGTCACACCTATTTTATCCACTCTAAGCTTCTTTAGTGGCTGTTCCATGGCACTGGTGTGTTGTGGTTTAACCCAGCTGGCAGCTAAGCACCATGCAGCTGCTCGCTCACCTCCCTCCCCTCCAACCCCAGTGGAACGGGGAGGAGAATCAAAAGTAAGGCTTGTAGGTTGAGATAAAAACAGTTTAATATTTGAAACTAAATTATAATAATAATGATAATAAAAAGACAAGTGACACACAATACAATTGCTCACCACCTGCTGACCAATGCCAGAACCTACCCCCAAACCCCAAACAGCCCCTTCTTGGGACCTCCCTCAATTTATATACTGGGCATGATGTTCTATGGTGTGGAATATCCCTTTGGCCAGTTTAGATCACCTGTCCTGGCTATGTTCCTTCACAGCTCTTTGTGCACCTCCTCACTGGCGGAGCATGAGACACAAGGAAGTCCTTGATTTAGGATAAACATGACTTAGCAACAACGAAGAAGTGAGTATGTAATCCACATTATTCTCATACTGAATCCTAAAGACAGCACTGCACCAGGTGCTGAGAAGAAATTAACTCTATTCCAGCCAAAACGCTGATGTTTATTCAGAGCAGGTTGGGTTCTTATAATCTGACCCTTCTCTATTTCAATTTATACTAGCCAAAATTAAAATCATCCACTATTTTGAATATCCTTTCCATGTTTTAAAGATATTTTTAATAGGATTCCATCAGCAAAAGTTAAAAGAACTTGCAGTAAAATTTGCTTCTCAGTCTAGTCCAGCAACTAAGATTTCTTCCCCATGAAACTTTATTTGCTTATAGGCAGTTTGTGCTTTCTGCCTTCTTCATCAGCTCTAGTGGAAAAACAGGTGTTATCTAAAAGACCAAATGAGCCTAAATATAATTTAGAGTAAGTGTAGAAATTATCCCTCTTCAGGATATGTGACGTAAATGTACAGTGCAGAGAAAGTGATCTTCAAAGTAGGCAGGTTACAAATAAAATAAAACTAGTATTTTATACTTGTCTTGAAAGCTAAGAGACAGCAAGTGTAGAACTCTTAAGTACAGTCTTGATAGGCTTCTAATGGAAGCATGTTTTTGCCTAGATAAAATTCTGGACCAAATTCAAATTGTAATTGTATATAATAGGGCTTTGTAGCAAACTGGCCTCAGGCTCAAAAAAAGCATAGCTTATGATTGTTATTTCCACTCCAAAATAAATAGCAGCAATTTCATGATGTGGCATATATGAAAAAAATTGTCTATTGACTGCTCTCAATAGAAAATACTGAATGAATAAAATTTTAAGATATTAAAGGTAATGAGGCCAAGGAGACATTTCCTGTAGACTTCAGTCAGTCCTGTCAAGTCTGTATGTTTCCAGCTTTCCCATTAATTGTTTCTTTTCTTGTTATGTAAAGGATATCTTCCAGCTGCACACCTCTAGTGAAAATAGGTAAACCTATGGAAAATGACTAGCTTTACTCTGAGCTAATTACACAAGTGCATACATCCCCCTACATGTGGTGTTAATTTTTTATTATGGCAGCTATAAAAAGATGTAAAATGCTACAGTCTGTGACAGACAGTGATCTGGCACACATGCCTAAAAAAAAAAATCTTTTACTCTGTGTATTTTCCCTAGTTAGTTGAAATCAGTTCTGGTTTTAATCATGCATTGAGTCCTTAATTTTAACAATAATTACTTTATTGCATTTTATCTTTTGTTTTTAACAGTGACATAATTATCCTGTTTGACTGAAGGAAAACCCTGTCCTCAGCTGAAAATATACCAGTACAGTGTGTATGTTTAAGTCCTTATTGTTTAACTTTCTGTATGTGAACAATACAGAGTTTAGAATATTACTGGCCAACTGGACAGGCTGTTCAAAGACTAGAAACTGCTTTATGCTTATCTGAGGTGCAGGTCGATTACCCTTTAATATGAATATACAATTGATCAGCAAATTTTTGCTATGTCACTTACAGTATTGAACAATATTACACTCTCCACATGTTCAGTACAGTTGATACACTGTGTAGCATGTTGGTAATCAAAACAGGTGTTACTAAGCCTTAAAGAAGTCTCACCCAGCCTTATAATTTGTATTAATTATATCTTTCCATTATTATACCTTATATAACCTTTCTTCATTCTTAGGTAATCATGTTTTGTGTCAACAGTTTTACTATTTGTGAGGCCTCTGTACCTGTAATTACCCAGGTGTTCTGATACAAATCCTAGGAAAACAATGTTTATTTTGTCTATAAATATCACCCTATTTTCAGCACAAATCCAAAACACAGCCCCATACCAGTCACTGTGAAGAAAATTAACTCTACCCCAACAAAAAACCAGCACATCATGCATGTAAATTTTGCTTTGTTACAAGCTGTTTCTACTGAATCATTGCCTTACTTCTAGGTTTGAGGTCAAAAGGTTAAAAATTGATGTTGAAGGGCAGTAATTCATCTGGCAGTTACTAACTTCAAAATGCTTGTCCCTGCAAAGTAGTTTTCTTGTAAGATATTCGTATACTATACATATAATGGCCAGTCTCTTCGCGAACGAAGAACCGGGGAAGGTCTTTCCACCTTCCAGCCTGCGCATTGAATTTTTTAGGTGAGACACAGTGTGCGCGGAACTGAGCCCACCCTTTAATCCTGAGGTTCATCTGCCGGGGCCAAGCACGCTTGGACGGTGGCAGCGAGGTCCTCAGGACGTAGATGGATTGCCTTACAGGGCTAGCGAGCTCCATCTGCCCAGGG